GCCTTTTAAAAAGGACAAACATTGGTTTAGGAGGAAAAACCAAAGCCATCAACGCCTCTCTCCAGGAACATTGGGGGCGCTCACGGCCTCGCACGCCAGAAGGGGGTGCCCATACTACTGTCCTCCTCGCGTTGCAGACCTGATCGTGGTGGTGGCGTCCATCGTGGTGCTGTCCGTGGGCTCCAACGGCCAGGTGTTCGCCACGTCCGCCATCCGGGGCATCCGCTTCCTGCAGATCCTGCGCATGCTGCACGTGGACCGGCAGGGCGGCACCTGGCGGCTGCTGGGCTCCGTCGTCTTCATCCACCGCCAGGTAAGACAGCGGCAGTGCACGGCAGTGCGTCACGCCACCGCGAGGGGCCGACAGGGCCTGCAGACGTTGGGTGGGACCGCCCAAAGCCGCGATGACCAGTGTGGCCGGCCCGGCCGTAAATCTGAGCAAAGCACTGCAGACCACTGCAGAGCCTAGGAGCAGCCCGGCGGCCAGCCCGAGCAGCCAGCCCGGGCCCGGATTCCATCGGAAAAAAGATAACCCGGGGTATCAGCCGGGACGGGGCGATGATGTAGGAGCTGCCCCTTCGGCCCCTGTGTGTGTGTGTGGGGGTGTGTGTGAGTGTGTGTGTGTGTGTGTGTGTGTGTGTGCGTGCGGGCCAGAGTCGCGGTGGCGGTGGCGGCTTGATGAACTGAGGGAGAAACTCGGGTGCGCCTCCAGCTGCGGCCGTCGGCCAGGCAGCCAGGCACGCAGCCAGGCAGGCGCAGAGTTTCCACGGCCTCGGCGAACGGCCCGCCCTCGTCGTGGTGGTCATCGTCGCGCTTGCGGTCGTCGTCGTCGTGTTCCTGGCGGCTCCTTTTTTTCTCGTCACGCTATTAAACGAGCAATGCGGGGAATGCCCGGGGGGTGCGTGTGTGTGTGTGTGTGTGTGTGTGTGTGTGTGTGTGTGTGTGTGTGTCCCACCGCATCGCCACCACGGGGCGTCGTGTGTCACTCCGAGCGCCTGGGACTCTGTCCTCTTGGTCGCCTCACACCTCGTCGTCCTGACCGTCCTCGGCCCGCCGTGGCAGGCTGCGGCAGGCGTGGCCAGGGGGCGCAAAGTTTGCCGTGTTTTGTTGTTGTCGCGGGCGGGGCGGGGCGGGGCGGGGCGGGGCGGGGCGAGGCGAGCAGGGCGGATTGTCGTTGCATATTGATTGGCGCCGAGGTGAGGCGGGGCATCGATTGGCAAATACTACTGGCACGCCGCGGCCCTGGCGCCCTGGCCTCCTTTCCCGGTGGGCCGGCAGGCCCGGCAGGCAACGCGTGATGACAATGCGTGATCCCCGCACCCCCACCCTCCGCGCTCCAGGGCTGCGTTCTACCTTAAAAAAAAACACCACCAAAATTGAGTCCAAAAAATTAAATTAATTTAAAATATTGAACTCTACGACCTTTTACACCCGCAATGCCGTTCATTTTAGGATCATTCATGTCGTCTTAAAGCCCCATCGCAGCTCAGGGCAAACCAAAAGACTCGTTTTCGTTACAAATGTGAAAGCAAGGAAGCTGCTGGAAAAAACAGCAAAACTATTGCTGACCCAGCGACTGGGGTCTCAGCGGTATGAATGATTGGGAGGCCTTGCCGCCGTGGCGCGCCGCGGGCCCAGACATCGACTCCTTTTCTTTTTCCAGTTCAAAAGCCACGCCAACATAAATTCTGCAGAGTCACCTCCGCTCCGTTCCGTTTCGTTCCGTCCGTCCGCCACAGCCGTCCAAAAGTCGGCCCCGCGCCGCGCCGCGCGCTGCGACTTTGGAGAGACCGACCTGGGCCGGGCGGCCAGGGCGGCCAGGGCGGCAGCACTGTATGACTGACGGTCGATAGTAATTCATGGCAGAAGGAACACGCCGAACACGCCGCTGTCTGCGCTGCTCTTCGGCGCACCGCCACGCCAAAGGCAGCCAGAGGCAGCCAGAGGCAAAGACCACCGGGATGGCGCCGAGCCAAGGGGCCCAGCCCCGCCATGGCATTATGACTGTTGGATGAAATGTCACCGTGCCGTTCTCGACCTGTCCCTTCCGTGTGCTGCTGCTGCCCTGGCGTCCCGGTCGCCGCCACATGTCACGGTGCACGGACTCGCATCAAACAGTGATGCTCGTTCTCGCCACCGCTACACCGCAAAAAAAAAGGGATGAAACCGGAGCGGCCAGCAGTCAAAAAGAAGTGAAGTCTGTTTAAGTCATCGTTAGCATATCAGTCAGGTTTTATTCCACCGAGCTCGTGCGTTGTTGTTGTTTTATCGGATGAGAAACACGCGGCGTGGAAAGGCATACGCGGAGCCATTAGCGCGCCGTTCCTGGAAACCGGAAACGGCTTTCGAGTGTGTCACTTCCGGCCAATCGCGGCCGCGTTGTGTGTTTGCACAGCGGCGCGCTTAATTCGGCCTGACGGTGGGAGGACAGACAGACAGACAGACAGACAGACAGACAGACAGACAGACAGACAGACAGAAAAAAGACAGACAGTCAGACAGGTGCCCACAGACGACAGGCAGTCAGTGCAAAACGCGCTGGCGGCCGCCACAACAGGCTGAAGTGCCGGAGAGGGGCACCCCGAGGGGGCGGGAGGGGGGCGCGAGGTGGAGTGGCGGCGGCGGTCCTGAATATTACATAAGAAGGGGTATTATCCTGGGGATGTGGTGACCACAGCGCGGGGCGCCGGGCCCCGACTCCGGCAGCGCAGCCAACGGCAGCCAAGCCCCTAAAGAGTTTCCGTTGGCGCGGCGCTCGCGCGGTGCCCCACCGGGCGGAGTCCGCCCCGTCCGCGGCCTTGTTCGCCCAGTGTGCTCGCTCTCACTCGCTCGCCCACTCTCATCCGGTGCTCGCTCCCACTCGCTCCCACTCTGGCCGTCATAATTTGTCTGGCTGCATTGCTAATTGGTGCTGCTGGCGCTGCTGGCCCGGGACAGTGCACAGTCCCACCGGGCCGTTACAGCCCTCACAGCGCCACTGACATTTTAATCCAGCCCTTTAGCCCCGCGGCCCGCGGCGGCCTGTGCTCCGCGCGAGTCCGGCCCGCCGATGCAAAGGCCTCGGCAGTCGAAGGCAGAAAGGGCGTTTCATCGCGGCAGTGTTGCCCAGCCTGGGGGGGATTTTGACTCCGCCCGCTGGAGCAGCTCAACTAGCACCACGCCGCGGTGTCGACACGGTCGCCTTCCACCGCCGCCGCCGTCTCCGACAGGCCGGGATCGAGGCCAGCAGAGGGCCAATATGTGCTGCCTGCAGCACTGCAGCTGGAGGGCACTCCAAGACGCCCTACTTGTTGCTGGAGGCGAGGCTGGAGGCGAGGCTGCAGGCGAGGCTGCAGGCGAGACTGCAAGGGCGCTAAAAGGGCCGTGTGTTGGAATCGACCTTTGCGCAACTTGCTCCAGCTTACCTTATCGAATAGTGATGAGGCTGCTGTCTCGGAACGGAGATAAAGGGAAAGACTAATGCCGGCTGTGTGTGTGTGTGTGTGTGTGTGGTGTGTGCGCGCGCGCGAGAGAGAGAGCGCTTGTTCAAGGGCGCTCCAGGTGACTTATTCATAACTGCGTTAAAGGTGTGTGCCTGTATGTTCTCGCGGGCGATGCCGATGGTGTGTGTGTGTGGGGGGGGGGGGGGGGTGATTACGGTTGCATGGGCAGACGGAGTGCAGGCGTTTGCGTGCGCGCGCGTTTTTGCCGCCCCAGCGAGTCGCTCGTTCCGTATTCATGACCAAAGTGCGTTTCGGCCGCAGGAGCTCATCACGACGCTGTACATCGGCTTCCTGGGCCTCATCTTCAGCAGCTACTTCGTGTACCTGGCCGAGAAGGACGCGACGGGGCCGGACGGCAAGACGGACTTCGCCAGCTACGCGGACGCGCTCTGGTGGGGCGTGGTGAGTAGAGAGAGAGAGAGGGAGAGAGGAGAGAGACCCCGGAAGCCGCGGTAGATGTAACGAATTAGTCCGTGCCTGTGCTCCAGGCAGACGCGGGGTGGACTATAACCGTATGCGCCTAATATTTTAAGCATACAGCCCCGCGACTTTCTCTCTCCGCTGCGGTGTGTTATTTTTTCGCTTTTATTTGTAACCGCTGCTTTTATTTTTATTATTACTGTTGTTGTTGGTATTTTCTCCATTTTCCTTTCCGCTCGTGCGACCCCGTTGCTGCTTCCGGCCGACCAGTGCATGAGGCCCTCTACCGCCCCACACCACCAAACCTCGCCCCGCCCCGCCACGTGACTCGCGTTTTTCGCGTTGTTGCGCCACGGCCGCGGTGCGCCGCGGTGTGCCGCGGTGCGGGTCGATGAAGGAAATCGACGATTTTATCGCCGACCGACTGACTGACTGAAGGGAGTGGCCGCGATCACGTTTGATGACGGCGTCGGAAAAATTGAATTCGGTTCGCCGCGGTGGGCGGCGCTGGCGGCGCTGGCGGCGTCCGGTGGCGCGGCGCGGACACCCTTGGACTTCTCGGCTCATTCCAAACCGGATTTGAATACCGCGCCACCGCCCCGCCCCGCCACTGCGGCGATGACGGACTGGCAGAGGTCGCGTCCATCGGGTTCGGGTTCGGTTTGGCGGCAAGTCGCGAATAAATCAAATTTCCCGCGCGGACGGCGGCGGCGTCTTTTCCCTGTTTTGTTTGATTTCCCGGGAAAAGAAAAGCGCGTGGGAAAAAGAAGTTTAGTTTCGAGACGGCGCTGCTTGCGCGCCGCTGCGCGCTTTCGCGGGATTACGAACAAAAGGAAGAGTTTACTCTTTTGAAACAGGTTTAGCGGAAACGGGTGGAATCGTTTCAGTTCTGCCGACTTTAAGGGACACTTCCGCAGTCGGTATAATAATTTCCAAGCGAATCCGCGTAATGCCAGTTGATGCGACGGAACCTTTCTGACAGCGTACAGCCCCCGTGCGGTGGGTGATGCGCGCCCCTCTCTCCGCTGGCCGCGCCTATGAGTGACTCTCACGAATTCATGACGTTTCCGTGTAAGTTGCTTCGCCATTAATGGAATGGGAAATGGCCCAGAAGGCATCCGGATTGGCCGGCTTTCGCGGAGCTTGGCGGGGCTTTGCGGAGCTTTGCGGAGCTTGGCGGCCTGTTTATCTGGTTGCTCTCCTTCGTTTCCGCTCGCGGCTCATCCGATCGACTCTCCCTTTTTCCCTTGGTCCCACCCTGCCCCCGCCCCTCCCACTGCCCCTGTCCCGACTCTACTCGGTTCGTCTCGCTTCCAGATTACCGTGACAACAATCGGATACGGAGACGCTGTGCCCCAGACGTGGATGGGGAAGATTGTGGCCTCCTGCTTCAGCGTGTTCGCCATCTCGTTCTTCGCTCTGCCCGCGGTATGTCAAATGACAAATCGACACAAAATCCAGGATCTTGAAAAATTTTTCAAGCATGGTTTCATGTGCAAAAATATTATCTCATTTTTTTCCCTAGTATTTGTTGTAACGAATATTATTTACCTTGTGTAGATATTTTTGTGCAGTTTATCGCAGGTCAGTGCTCACGACCCTCGTTGCGTTGTCTCCCCAGGGCATCCTCGGCTCGGGCTTCGCGCTCAAGGTGCAGCAGAAGCAGCGCCAGAAGCACTTCAACCGGCAGATCCCCGCGGCCGCCATGCTGCTGCAGTGCCTGTGGCGGTGCTACGCCGCCGACAAGTCCTTCAACTCGCACGCCACCTGGAGCATCTACTGCAAGGACCTGGACCTTCAGGGGGGCGGCGGCGTGGCCGCGGCCCTGGGGCTGGACAGCCAGCCCGCCCCCGCCCCCCTCGGCAAGGTGGGTGCCGCCCCCCGTCGCGGGGTGCGGACCGAGCAGCCGGGGGCAACATGCTTGTCGTGCGCACATGTCGATAACACAAAACCTTTCCCAGACTTTCCCTCTTTGCATTTTTTCAGATCTTTTGAAAATTTTCTAATTTTTGTCTCGAAAGTTTTTGAATGTTTAGAGACATCTTGAATTTTTTGGAGGGATAAAACCATTTTGTTATTCCGGGCTCCTTTTTTTTGTCTGAAGTCACCGTCAAACTGCGCTATGTTACACTCAATCTCACTGACAATCATTTTTGTTTGCTAAATTTTGCGTGCACTTTTTTTTTTTCAAAGTACACATCCACATAAATCATGGCGTTGACAGTCTGGCACGTAATCATGGCACGAAAGCCAACATGTGCGCATGCAGCTGCCCCCGCAGCGCTGTGAGGTCGGCGTCTTCCTGCTGACGGAGGGCTGCGGATGGAATGCCCTTTTTTCCTTTTGTTTACCTGTTTGGCTGTGCCCTGCTCTGTGTGGGCTCCCGGGCATGCTCTGTGTGTATACGCGTCTGTAGGCTGGGCTGGCTGCGCGCGGTGCGTCCGGTGAGCGCGCCATTGACGCGGAAAGGCTGGCTGCTGATGCGGGCGTGGGTTCGAATACCCAAGCGGACCCTTTTTTGCTTCTCTTTTTCCCGCCCCAGCCCCTGAGAGGGTCTGAAGTCGGGGTGGTATGACGTGCGCGTGGACGCCCGGGCCCCTCTTGGTGTTTATTCGGATTGCAATACACGGCGCTATGCGGCGCCAGCGCGCCAGCCTGCCTTTCCAGGCGCTCTGGCTTTCATACCCGCAGTGCAAGGAGGGGAAGGGGAGGGCGCTGTTGTGACTGCAAAAGTGCTCCGGCGCGCGTGGCGTGCCTGGCGCGCCAGCCGTGCCAGAGGCGTGGTGTGCACACTGTGCGCTCGGCTCGGCGCCGTGTGCATTTTGACGGCCTGAATGCCGCACCGTGTTGCTGCACTCCATGGAGACGTGACGGGTCCGCCTGCCTTGGCCTGCCTTGGCCTACATGGCGACGGCTGGAGGACTGCCGCGCCGAGACTCATACAGGGGGCGCAATATTTTTCCTCCAAGAAATGTGCGACGAGAGACGTCGATCGTGTAGTGACGACTTTGCAGCCCTCCCACTCTGAAATCGTGGTGGGAATCACAAGTAAAGGAATCGACAGAAATCCAGTTGATTTTCTCCCCCAGTAGGGCACCATTCATACGACAAAAGCTTTTTAAGAAATTTCATCACTTCAGTTTCAAAAAAGTACGTAAGATAGTCGTAGTTTCGGACAAAAAACTTTCGGACAAAATCTTCCCAGAGAGTTTTGACGGAGATTTTCTGTTCTGACGGAAAGAAATCGCAGACGTAGCAAGTCAAAAAATAATGGGCTCCTTGCCTATGACGCACCGGGTCAGCCAGCCACCTCACTAGACGCACTGCCTGCTGTTACTGCGAGCGCAGAGGCTCGTCTTGATTGCTGGTGTTGTTTGCAATTGTTGTGTGTTTCGGGTGAAATATTGATTTTGCCGCCGCAAAAGACAGCGCTTTGTGTCCTTTTTTTAAAACAAAAATAAGGGCATGGCCTTCTGCTTTTTGGTCTCTGTGTTGTGCCGTGTGTGTACAAAGACGTGTGCATTTTGTGGCGGTAGCTGTGTTTGTGTTTCTGCATGGTCTGCGAGGGAGGGGATGCTTCCGTCAACTCGTGAGTACGGGTAGGAGGGGGAGGGGGGGTTATTTGCGTTAATGTGAAATGAGACTTGCCCTGTAAAGTGGGGCATTCGTGGTCTGAGGAAAGAGAGTGGCAGGTTTGCGAGTCAACAGACCGAACGCGACGACAGCGTATTCACTTTGGTTCCGGGGCGTTCGAGATGCTGATGTGGGGACTGGCGCATGGCGCATTCGCATTCAGTAGTATAGAGGAAGCAGAACCAAAGTGGAGAGCGATTTCAATCATCAAAGAGGCCACTCCACCACAGTCCTTCCGTTGTTTACTGCTCGTTGTTGTTCTTGTTGTAATTTTGTGAAACGTCACGCGCACGAGTCGCAGCCGGGGCTTTCGATACGAATCCTTTGACGCATTGCAGCGCGCAACATGTGTGCGTGCGTGTGTCTGTGGATTGTTCCTCCGTCGTAATCTAGTCACGTGGCGGCCGGGACCGCGGCAAATCCCGGAAGGCGCTTCGGGTAAAAGGGGTCCGGAAGGGGAGGGGGGGGCATATTCGCACGGCGCACTTCCGGACTTCCTGTGGTTTGTATTCAGCTTGCAGTGCTGCCTGTCATGTCGCTAGCTGCTGCTTCTGCTGCGAAGGCCGCCAAAGCGAAACAGAGTTACCGCGCGAGCTATCCCTTGCTTTGAGTCCGTCCACGCGAGCGGCCTGCGACCGCGCGACGGATGTTCGGACGCGCGCACTTGCAAATTGGAGAGTCATCGTGTTCGGCGTGAGCCAAAAAACGGATCAAAAAATATGTCGATCAAAATCATGGACTTGTCAAACCTCAGGTGTTTATAACCCTGCAAACGCTGAGCGTGACTGGCTTGCTTCGTAGGTTCTGGCCGTTAGAAAACAAAACTCGAACCGGGGACGTTTTTGTCGGGTCCCAGCGCGCAAGGCACCCCAAAGTCGGGGTGCTTGTTCAGTGGTTCTCCCTCTTGGACGTGGCGATAGACGACGCACTGACCAGCGGCATGCCCAGAATGACGGGCACGCCATCAGGCCATCGCGAACCGCGGACGGCGGCGGACAGCAGGCCCCGCCCCTACGGTGTAGGCCCGGCCACGGCCCGCCGAGTCATCACGTCTCGTGTCGAATGCATGCCGTCTTGGACTCGGGGCCCATTTTTCGAGTGACGGGCCGAGCGTCCCCTCCCTCAGAGACTGGAACCGCCCTTGCGATGTCGCGTTTAGCCTAACTTACTGAAGCGCCCTGTTGGATTTTGTGTTTGTTACTTCGCCCCCAAGGGACAACCACACGGTTCCACCATTCAATGCAAACAAACCAAACTGTACAGCGGTTCACTTACTTGACTCAAATGTGTTTTAACGTTCAGTCCAACGTAAGTTCGTAAACGGTTTGCGACTGAGTGGTTGTCCTCGGGCGGGCTTGCTGTTGTCTGTGTGTTGCTGTTGTATCTGCCTTAGCTGTGTGTGTGACCGTAGCTGCATGCGCTCAGTGGGCGCTCCCCGCACAGTCTTTGATGATCCAGGTGGCCAAGAAGGCCAGCGTGCTGAAGCGGCGCAACACCAAGCAGCGCATGGAGTCACGTGACTCTCCGTGCGGCACGCCCTCGGCCGCGGCCGCCACCGCCGCCACCACGCCGGCCACCCCCGCCACCGCCACCACCAACTCCACCGCCCTGGTGGGCACGCCGTCCGGGACGCTGGGGGAGGGCGCTCGCCGCGACAGCGAGGGCGACGTCGTCTTCTACATCGACGACGCGTCCAAGGCCGGTTAGTGTCAACCGGGCTCCCCTGGTCTGGTCACGCCCGCTGGGTTCACCATGTCGGGTGCTGGCCACCATCGCCACGCATTGGCGGTGCTCCATTGACCCCACTGTAGCGCGGCGCCGCTGTGGCTTTCGGCGTCCATAATGGCATTGGTTTAATGACGCTGCAGCCTCGTTAGCGAGGGGTCGACGACAGAGTATGCCAACGTGACAAAGAGTATCGACTAGCTGCAGTATCTTTTAAACACGCTTTGACCCCTGTTTAAAAACTACCACCACCTGAACGATTTTTTTTTCTTTTTGCGAGTTGGCACTATTGGCACGAGGGGGTGTCAAGTGGTTTTCGGACGGTCCCTAATGAGTCCGCTTGATTAGCCTGTTTCATGTTTGCCGCTACGCTGCTTTGCTGACCGCGCGGCCGCAAAGCAAACACTGGCAATCGGCTGAGCGATACCGAGGAGCCAGTGGGTCACTCCGTCTCCCTCGCGCCCCTACGGGACGGCCCGTGAGTCCGACTGAGACAGAGCACGAGGTGTAACTCTGCATGCGTTGCACACAGGCACGCCGAGCAGCCTGGCCAGGGCGGACGGCCGCATGTTCCCCAGCCAGACCAGCTCCGTGACGGAGGCCGCCTCGGACGAGATGGACTGCGACATGCTGGACGAGCCGCAGCGCGTCACACTGTGAGTCAATCCATCTCCATACCAGGCAAGCGCACTGCCAAAGCGGCCAAAGCAAACTAAACGCCAAACACTGATTCCAGTCTGACGGAGGCGCACCGCAACGCCATACGTGCCATCAGGAAGATCAAGTACTTCGTGGCGCGGCGCAAGTTCCAGCAGGCGCGCAAGCCCTACGACGTGCGGGACGTGATCGAGCAGTACAGCCAGGGCCACCTCAACATGATGGTCAGGATCAAGGTGAGTGCCAGTCCCAGTCGCGCCTTTCGCCGCAAACCCTGTCCGATTTGGGGGCCCGCTCCGCCCCTCGCCCCTGTCGCCGCCACAGCCATTCTGCTTAAAAGCGCAGTCTGCCTAATGACTCACTTGACGGGAATAAAACTTGAGCGACGGTTGTTGATTCGCCTGTCCCGGCGCTGCCAGACTAAAACTTCCACTTCCCTCTTCAAAGTTGCGACGAACGGACGGGTCGGGCGGGAGGGGAGGCGGGCGCTGGTTTAGACCCCCCTGACCAGACCCAACTTTCAAACTGTCTCCCACTCGGTTTGGCCGACATGCCCCGGGGGGTCCGCGGGGCGCGGTGGCGGGCAAGGGGTCCGCGGTCCTCGGGAGGTACGTCGCCTGCCTCACCTAGTTAGCAAGGTGGCCCGCGGCGCCCGGCCACGCCCCGCCACGCCCTGATCGCTTTTAAGCCACTGCGCTCCATCGCAGGCCCGTGGAGAGGGTTTGATTTGATTGCGATTTTCGTCGACAGGAGCTCCAGCGCCGCCTGGACCAGACTCTGGGCAAGCCCGGCATGGACCGCTCCGGCAACCTCAAGCCCATGACGATCGGCGCCAGGCTGTTCCGCCTGGAGCAGCAGGTGGGTCTCGGTTCCGAAGGTGATGGCGCCTCGTATGGCCCCGGCTAATTTCTCTCTCTGCGTGCTGCCTAGATGTCGGGCATGGAGAGGAAGACGGACAACATCCTGTCGCTGCTGCAGCTTGTGGCCCAGAAGCACGGCCTCACGCCGCCACCACGATCACCCACACTGCGGGAGGAGATGGTGGAGCGCACCGCGTAGGACCCTCTATTTTCTTCCTATGATCTCAAAGCTATATTTTTATTATTTTGTTCCTCTTGTCAAAGGTACCGGAGAAATTTTGGCATTCGTTTATTGTAGCCATTATTCATAAAAATGTATATTCCAGCACCAAAACAAACCATGTATGCACGGTCCTATATATGCTTGATGTAATGTAAGGCAATATTCCATGAAACTTAGCTGTAGAAGAGTTCATCTTAAATGCTCAAGCGATATGTCGTTTTAATCAAATGAATCGTGTGAACCTTTTTCTCCTTTAAAGGTAATTCTCTCAAATTGCACAATTATATAGTTATATGGGTACAGAGTATACTCTTTGTTATGAAAGGACTCAGCAGAAGGGCGTCACACATGTTTAGAAAATCTCCCATTTGGTAGAAATATTTGTAACTTCCCCAGCGTTGTGGTATCAGTTCTTTGCCACAGCTGGGCCAATGAACATCGACACTTTGTAAGACCCTTGTTAATAATGTACTCTTTCGTATTGCCATTGATCTGAGCTTCATCCCTGCGTATTCCATATTTTCCTTGTTCTTTGGTCCTGGTGCCTTTAATCTTTTTTGTGACATCTATGTACAATAATCTGAGCTAGTTGATACTGTTTCATATTGCCACGACCCTTTTTTTAAAACAATTTTTAATAGTTTGATAAATTTTAAAATTTTCGCGGATTCCACTTCTAGTTATCATGGCTGGTGTCATCACCAGCCGTCTTTTTGGTGTCTGTTTTAAAACACAGTTACTCTTAGATACTCAAATAATACTCTCAATTCTTCCATTAGTGTTAAAAAACAATTTCACCCGAGGTAATATAAGAAAATTATCTGCGATATGTGGAAAGAGCTGGGTAGATAGGACCACTTCTAGTGCATATTTTTGCGTTTTGAGACAAACAGAGCGCAACAGCAGAGTCAACCATGATTTCTTGGGTTAATCTTAACCTTATTTGAGTAGAGAAATGTTGATTTCTTCTTTGCGTTCTTAGTCCAGAATGCTCGAATAATTCTATCGACTGACTATTTTGAGTAAGAATCATTATGTATCTATCTTCTTGCGTAAACCTTTATATGAGAATGTTTCAGCTCGACATGTCAACCATTTGGTTGTGTTTCGCTCTCGGGACATTGGTCTCTAGATGGCCTCCTGGAAAGTACGAATTCCGAGTGAATACTTGCATTTAAGTTTCCGGCGACAAAACTACTTCTTATCTGTCGCACTTCCAATGCTTCCAAACTTTCAAGTCCGCTGCCTTGTAGTATTTTTGTTGCACTTGGTTGACAGCGTAGCGAAGTCAAATGACCAGTAAAAGTCGAAGGACGGGTAAGTCGAGCCCAAAGTGATCCTGAAGTATCGAAAACCGAAAACAGCTTTGATACACAACGTCCGGTTTCATCGCAAGTGTAGACCAATGCGGGAAACGCCCGTTTGATTTGTTGCAATTAAGGTAATAAACGCCGAAAAGAGTTATCTCGTGTGCATGGTATAAATTTTTAAAACAATTACATTACAATTATTTAAAATTCGGTGCGACAAGTTTTGCGTCAACAGAGGGAACAAAATAATGGACAAGTTAAAAAGAATATTGGTCGTAGTCGGTCGATTTGGTGTGCATATGACGTGATAAATTTTCACTGTATCGTGGGTCCATAGCTTTGCTACTGTAGAATTGTGTTGGGATCAAGTCGTATACATACAGGCAAGTCAGTGGGCCGCCACTCACCGATCTATGAGCGGCTGTATCACGCGCACCATGGTATTAATGATATTTTTACAAAGGCACTTGTCTCTGTCACAATAATAGATCGTCATTATAATGACGTGATGGCACGCAGTCATGTATTTGTACGTTTCGTCACTCTACTGTATTGCACTTTACTTCAAGTTACTCATTTTAAGAAAGATTTTATTATTGAATTTTATTAATTATCGTGATGTTTTTAAGAAAATAATCTTATCTTCGTCATATTTTCTTACGCACTGGAGGCTGAGTAACTATATTCTTACACAGATCTTGTACATATCAAATCTTCAGCATTTTCTTACGCAAACGACCTTGTGGTCGCCACGTATTTACTCTGTAGTTTGTTAGAAAATTAGTCGAATGTTGGAGAATTTTGTCTCCCTTTGAAGTATTTGGAACCAATTTTGTGGTCAGCAATAATAAGTACGTATTATTTAAAGTTTTGTGTATTTCGTAAATGAGACAGCGGGATCTTGTTACCCTCCGATATGAAAAAATATTACTTCGTTGCGATATCTGCAGTGGAGGCAGCACAGCCCCTGACCCACCAACCGCGGCCTCTTAGCGGGCTGCCTACCCAACAGGCGCCCTAGCACATTTCACAAAAAGAAAAATGCTTGCTTTTTGGCAGTGTAGTTGGTAATCGTTTTCTCAAAAGTAAAACCTATTTTATTTTGGTATAGATGGTGTAGATACTCTTTTGACCTGGGGCCAGGGGTAATCTTGCGGGGAGGCATTTTTTCAAATTAGACAACACGTCGCTCTTTTCTAGGACCTTTGCTCAACACCCAAGGCTAGAAGACAGATAAAGGGCGATTCTGATTGTGGTCTTCATGAATATAAGTAGTAGTCTGACGTAGAATACAATGTCCCCTTTCGTCAGTGCAGCTATCTCCACACAATCCAATGCAGGGTTCTTGTTTCTTGGAGTTGTCCAACTTTCATGCCTCTGTGATCTATGCACAATAATTTTTCCCGGCTAAAGTGGCTTTTTCTATCTTGTTCCCCATTTCAAATTTACTGTTTAACCTGATCCATGTAATTACCACGTTTTTACAGTCGACGTGCCTTTACATATTCTGGCGATGTAAAACTCGCTCAGAGGTATGGTTTGTTTGTTGGCTTCGGGTTCCTTCGGTTAGCGTAGATGATGATGAGACCACGTGAAGGGTTGTGTTAATGAGTACAAACACTTATAATTTATTTTAAAACTGTTTAATAAATTTGATGCTTCATTGTGAGTCAACAGGATCTTTCCTGACTGTAAAAATGTGTATGTTTCTGATATTAATTTCAGCTTTTGTCTTTATTTCACTCAATCAAACTCAGTCAAAGAAATTTCCCGAGCGATGAAACAAAATGATGTCAATTGAGCCATCTTTGCCACTATGAAAAATTCAATTTTGAACTAGACGGCCTACGTGGCTTTCCGACACAGCAGACAAAGATTTGGTGCCCGCTTTAGGACCATCCTTGGCACTCTGTGATCGTGAAATTTCATTCTGTGATATGTATTTGTTATGGATTTCTGTAATTTTGTAGTCGTAAATGTGACGCGCATGCGTGGATGTCGACCATGCCCTCAGCGAACTTTTAGTACCTTCCAAGGAGGTAAAACGGAGGTACAAAACGAATAAGCACAATGCCTGCAAAAGTCAGAAAGAAAACTTTACGTTGGAGGCGCTCTCTAAGAATAGGCTCCTCTTCTCTGCTCCTCTTCTGCTTTCTATCCTTTCCCCTTATCTCCTTGTGGGGACAACTCCGAGCGGGCCGACAAAGGCCCAAAGATCGTCCAAGGCGATGTGCCGCGTTTGTGTTGGAGCCGAGAATGTATTTAGCCATAATTAGTGTTTGCTCTCTATAACAATACTGTGAAGTTTAAAATGTTTATCAATGTTAAAGGATATCTCAAAGAGTGGGTGTTGGCTTTGGATTGGACTTGATTTTATTGGTGTGTTGTGATGTGAAAAAAGAGGGGAGCATTCGTAGTAAGGCTGAGCCTTACAGCCTCCACTCCAGTGTGTTGTATTTGTGTCGATTGCGTGTTCAGTCCAAGTTTTCACCTGCTGTAGCTGATTTGAGGAAAACAGATGTATATGTTGTATGGAGAGATGCGATGCAATAAAATAATGACTTCAGAAATTGCCTATGGTTTCAATGGCACATACCAAATAACACCCTAGAAACTAAACGAATTTCATTTATTTATGTTTCATAAAACGGTTAACAAAAATCTGACGTTTTTGAAATTAATCACATCTATTAGTAATGGACTAGATACAGTCGCGTGTGCTGAGGGGATGCGCATGCAGTAACCTTTTCTTTAACAACTACAACATTTCCAATCGTTCACTTTAAAAATTCTGCAAAGTTTACTGCTTGCTTATCTCTCCCTTTGCTCGATGTATGCACCACCTGCTCCAGCACTCAAATGACTAAGATTTTTTAAAAGCTAAATATCAGTCAAATCTCTCTGCCGGCACACTGTGCATTTGTTCGTCTGAACATGAGACCGACCCGATTCATCTTGTTACACATACATGTTAATGACAAAATAAATCATCACAAAATACACAATTTTAATTTGGGTGATGAAAAGGTTTACTTTTCCCTGTCAACAATAACTCCTAACTAATATAAATCACAGTCGTCCAATGTTCTGAATTTCAAAGGTCTTTAATGTCTACTAAATGCACAATTTGAAACTGGTGGAGTCAATTTGAACTTGCCCAGTCAAAAGGAGTAAGACAACGTAAGAATAAATTGTAGTTTAATGAGAGCTTGATGGTGCGAGGAAATGAGGATTATGAATTTGCGCGATTCGAGTTGAAATTACGTCGTAGAATGCGTGCTTTTTCGATGAAAATGAGCTAACTACACATATGTACAGAGTAACCCTACTGAACATACACTGACCTTGACCTAGCAGTCTTCTCTTGTTCCTCGTCAACTTACAGCAATACTGAGATCTTTTTCATAAGCGCCCCTCCCATCGGGCAGAGAAACGAAGGCCAGGACACGGCGACGGCCTTGCAAGGACATCATTGAGCAATTCACACAACAACGGCAGCGCGCACTAACACAATCACAAAAATCACAGTAGGTTCCAGGCTTCCGCAAGGGCTTCCGCAACGCCTTGGCGCCACTCTGCGCCTGCCCGGCCTAGAGGAGGTCGTCATCCGCCTCGTCCAGCTCCGGGTGCAGGGATACGGGGCCACCTCCGGGATCGCCTCCAGGGTCGCCTCCAGGTTCGCCTTCAGGGTCGCCTCCAGGGTCCATTCCGGAGCGGACTCCGGGGTCCGAGGCCGGGCCCTGGCCCTCCGTCACGCTGCCGGGCAGGTAGTCCTTCCAGCTGCGGAACAGGTAGCGCGTGAACTTGCGCAGCTGCCGGAACTTGCAGTAGGTGGCGCCCTCGGCGGACTCGAGCTGCTGCGTCTGGATGAGGAAGCCCTTCTCCTTGAAGGTCTTCTCCAGCTTCTCGCGCTCCAGCGACTTGCGCGTCTTGCGCTTGCGGGCGGCGAGCGGCGCGGCCCGGTTCTGCTGCTGCTGGCTTTGGTGCGCGTACGGGCCCGCCTCCAAGTCCCACGACGGCGTGCCGGCGAGCTGCAACAGAGGGCGGGGTGTCAGGCGGCGTGGCGGTGGCGGTGCACAGCGCATGCGTGGAGGGGGAAGCGGGCGCGGGACGGGCTAGTCGGGAAAGCGTTATCACCTTAAACACCTCCACCCCAGGGAGTACTTGCTTGCCGCACCTGCGGAGGAGGGAAGCCGAGCAGGCCTTGCTGCAGGCCCTGCTGCAGGCCCTGTGCTGGCATGTGCAAGCTCTCCATAACGTTCTGGAACAGAAGCGAGCGCAGACTTTCTGACTGCGGCGGCGGCGGCGGGGCGGCGTGCGCCGGGTACGACTTGGGCAGCAACTGTTGTTGCTGTTGTTGTTGGAGCTGCAGCTGTTGTTGCTGCTGCTGCTGCATCGACTCCCGGGGGAAGAACTCGTAGCCACGCATGGACTTGTCCCCCGTGCCGCTGTAGTAGCGGAAGTTGCCGCCCGCGTCCACGGACAGCATCTTCTTCTCCTGCAGACTGGGCTTGGCGCCTCCGGTGAACTTGAACTTGCAGATGCTGACCTGGAAGCGAGAAAAGACGGGGGTGAGCTCAGCGCACTAGGTCTCTACCGAGAGTGTTTTTGTTGTTGTTGTTTACCTCCGTGGTGGGGTTGCTGCTGCTCTCCGCCGGAACTGGCGGGATGAAGATGGCGGAGCGTTTCCGCTTGGGCGGGCTGGGCGCGGGGGCGGGCGACGCCGAGGGGCTGGAGGCGGGGGAGGCGGAGTGGCGGGCCTTGGCAGCCCGGGACGTCCGGCTCTGCTGCGCCGCGACGTGGTGCTTGGGGGCCGCGTCCGACCTGCTGGCCCGCGGGGGCGGCGCCGCCATGGTCGCGATGGGGTCCTCGTCAACGCCAGGTAGCCGCAGCAGCGGCGGTAGCGGCGGTAGGGAGGGCATGACGTGCGGCGCCATGGTCAGCGCCTTGGCGTGGACTCCGTGGACGCCGTACAGCAGCGGGTGCACGTACATGCCGGGCACCCCGCTGGCGCCGTTGCAGCCCCAGTACAGCATGTCTGGCCGCGCGAACACCGCCTGCTTGGCCTCCTCGTCCGCGTCCTCCTCGTCCTCGTCGTCGCCGTCCTGGTTGACTAGACTGGGGTCGGCGTCCACCTCGATGACCTCGCTCTCGGGCGACGCGGGTTCGGACTTGACGTCGTCGTCGTCGTCGCCGGCACCAGCCGCGGCGGGGACGCCGTTGTTGGACTCGTAGAAGTTGCCGTGGCGGCGCAGCAGTTTGATCTTGAGCGGGCTGTCCCGGGCGTCCCGGGCGTCGCGGGAGTCGCGCGCGCCGCGGGTGTCCCGGACGCACAGGTTGAGCGGCTCGTCGCGCTGCCGCTGCGAGGCCTCGGCCTGCTCCTCCTGCGTGAGGCGCTTCTCTAGCAGGCTGGAGATGATGCGGCTCTGCACGTCGCTGCGGCTGAGGCGCGGCGCCAGCGACAGCGGCAGGGCGGTGGGCCGGGGTGCCACCGCCACGGGGGCCACCGCCACGGCCGCCACGTCGTCCACGTCGGGTGGGATCACCGTGCCGTAGTTCTTGTAGATGAGGTGGCAGATGTCGGCCTTCTTGGGCTTGCGCCCGCGCCGCGGCTTCATGTTGTCCAGTGTCATCTCGCCCATGTAGGGCAGGTCCTGGTACGTCATGACCTTGCTGGGCGCGGTGCGGGGCGCGGACTCCACCACGGGGTCCCTCCTCAGGAGGCTGGACAGCAGCGCGCGCTGGCCGTTGGCGGGCCGCTCTTCCTTGGCCGGCGCCTGCTCGGCCTGCTCGGCCTGCGCCATGAGGCTCATGGCCACGAAGGCCGCCGGGTCCAGGTCCGTCTTGCCCTGGCCCAGCAGCGCCTGGTAGCGCGTCAGCACCTCCAGGCCGAACGGCATGGGCACGGGGATGGGCAGCGGGGCCGCGAGGGCCTCGCCGTCCGAGCCGTTGGCCGGCTTGGGGGCGAGCGGGGCCAGCGTGGCGGCCTGGACGGGCTGCACAGGCTGGGCGGGCTGCTCGGAGGTGGCGGCGGCGGGCGGGGCGGGCCGCTTGTGGTTCCGCGGCGCCCTGCTGCCGATGACCCTCGCCTTGTCGTCGCCGTCGTCCTTGCCGCGCGGACGGCCACCTTGCTGCGACGCCAGCGAGGCCTCGTAGTGGTCCAGGTACTCCGGCGGCAGCGCCTGGTGGTGGAACTTGAGCTTCCAGCGCGACCGCCGGCGCCCTCTGCAATGGAGAGGATTGTTAAGTCGGTCTGTCTCTCTCGCACCCTTACGGAGTGCCCAACGAGTGCGACAGAGACAAAGTGACGAAACGCCTGTAATTCGTCCGTAGGCCCGCGATCTCACCTGCCCCTGCCAGTGTCGCTGCCTCGCGAGGACTCCATCCTGGGCTGTTGTTGCTGCTGCTGTTGCTGCTGCTCCTTTATCCGCTGGTGGATTTGGCGCAGCTGCAGCTGCTGCTGGTGGTGGAACGACGCCTGCAGCTGCGTTTGGCTGTGCGTGACGGCGGGGCTAAGTCGGTCCATCACTGCGGATGGGCTAAAATACAAAGAAAAGTCCAAGTTAAACACTCAATCAGCAGTATCACACTTCTCCAAGAGGGGGTGAGATCGAAAAACACAAAAGATTGACTTTTAAACAAAAAAGGCTTCTCACCTCGACCTGGAGGACGCGGACATGCGGCTGGACAGGGGGCTCTCGGCGAGGCGCTCGGCCAGCGGCGACGGCGTGGCCTGGACCAGGGTGGTGGCGTGCTCCGAGGCGTGCGGCGCGTCGTCGCCGTCCTCGGACTCCTGCTTGACCGCCATGGTGAGGCCCTTGAGGGTGTGCAGCACGGAGTCCCTGCCGACGCCGCCGGGCGCCCCCAGCGAGTCGCCGTCGAGGTCCCGGTCCCCGAGAGGGAGGCCGTCGCCGACCTCCAGGGAGTCAGCGTCCCCCAGCACCGCCGGCTCGGCTGAACGCGGGCTCAGCTCCTGCGTCGTCTGCATGCTGCCCGCTGCAAACAGAAGCAAAGGTCGAGGGTTCAAATCCCGGCAGGTGAAGGCTTTTTTTTCTATGCTGCCGGGGAGGGGTGCTGGCGCGGGCACTCCCTTGGACGCCGTACAGCGGACGTTAAGAAGGCGGTACAGTACACGCGGAATGACAAAGTGAGAAATGCGGCGGCGGGTCGCGGGGCGGGGCGGGGCGCGTGGGCCGGGCCTCCAGTCACCGCTGTCATCCATGTACGGCGAAGCGGAATCGTTAACCCGCACCGCGGCGGCCGCGCGCCGCAACGCCCTTGCCGATGCGTAGGCCTGCCTCGCCGTGCCTCGGCGTGCCTCGCCGTCACGACCAGAATCCGGGATAATCCATCGATAATATGGGGAGCGCCCGGTGCAGTGCGCGGCGTGTGCATGGCGTACGCCCTGCCAGTGGCGCGGCGGCGCGGCAGGACGACGATGGAGGGGTCGCGGAGCGCGGAGCACTCCACAGGTAATATCCCAGTCGCGGCGGTTCGGCCGGCCCGCCCGAGTGAGAGTGACGAATGGAGAGAGATAGAGCGAGTCTGAGAGAGTCGGCGGGCGACACGCAGAGACACGGAGATGGCAATCAATAAAATGCGTGTCCGAGGCAGGGGCGTGTGCTCCGCGTGCCCGGGCCGCGTCGTATACCGGGGCCGCGACGGCCGCGACGTCGTCGCCAGCGCCTTAAAGTGGCCCAGCACTGCGCGGCCACGGATTTTCTCATTTCAAAGTTGGCAATGCGTCCGGCATCGGGCCGCGGCGTGGCGGGGCAAGGCATGGCAGGCAAGGCAGGCCGAGGGAGGTGGGCGCGCCGTTCAGACAATGCGCGCGGCGCGGCGGTCGCGGTCGTGTGTGGCGGAAGGCGATGATTAAGCTCAAGCGAGCCAGGCGGCCAGGCCAGCCCAGCCAGCACCACCCTGCGAGGCGTGGCACAGCCATGGCCTGGCCGTGTCTCTGTGTGGCAACGGCGGCTGGCACAATTTCCTTTGCGCAACCGAGGACAAGTAGTTTGATTCCAGCATCGAAATTATCCGATCGATCGGCGTGGTCGTCGCAGCGGGACGCGCGGTGTAGTGGTGGGGGGGGGGGGGGGGGGGGGTGCCGAGGGGCGTGCGGTGACCGCAGCGCCGCGCCGCACTCACCGAAGCCGAATTCCGGTAACATCACTGTCAGCTGCAGTCCGGGCACTCCGGGCACTCCGGGCCGCGCGGCACCACAAGCACTGCACCACTACACTGCACTACTCATGCCCGCCAGAGGGCTCCGGGCACGCCCCCGCGCGTTCACTCGTTCGCTCCCGCTCGTCGACGGCGCGTCGTCGGCGACCTCGGGGCCGCGGTGTCACGGCACTACGGCGTCGGTGCGCGGCGTGTGTGCGGGGCGTCGCGGTGCAGGGCGGCGGGCTACTCGCGGGAGCGTCTCGACGGCGCGCCGAGCGTCCGCCCCCCGCCCCGCCACGCCCCGCCACGCCCCGCCGTCAGGGCGTAAGGGACGACGGCGAAGTGCCGCAAACAGCAGGCCAGCGCAGCGGCGGAGGTACGGCGCAGCGAAGGCGGGGGAGTTAAAAATATCACTCAAACTCCGCCATTTCCCCCTAAACTCTCTTGTTGTAGCGACAGGGGCGCGGCGCGGGGGGCGGCGGCTGCTAGGAAGGTGCTCGCGCCAGCCGCGCTTCCTAAGCTTAGCTTGGCCGAAAACAGCCGAGCGGCGCCCGAGCGGCGTCCCGACGCCGGCCGAAGGGGGCCGAAGGGAGCCGAAGGCGCTAAGGCCGCGCTCGGCTCGGCCCTCGGCGCGCCGCCCGAAAGAAACTCCTTCTAAATCGGGCGCCTCTCCTCCGAAATCTGAGATTGGTCCGTATTAGGCGTTATAGGTTATGAAGCGTCCACTGGTGTGCGAGCCGGCCGACGGGCCGACAGTCGCTCCCCGCGTACAGCGCCGCCCGCCGGTCCGCCGGGGTGGGGGGAGGGTCTGGCCCAGCATCTCAGGTGACACCCCGGGGCTTGGCGGCGCCGCTCGACCCAGGGCGGCGGAGAGGCGCGGCGCCCCGCGGCCTGGGGCTGGCGTGGCGCTGGCATGGCGCCGCCACCAGGACAGTGATCTCGACGGCGTGCTGGGGGCGCTGGCTGAGCTGGCGGACCCCAGAGCCCAGGACCGCGGGGGCCAAAGCAACTTGTGGAGCACCACCAGGACAACCAATCAATGGTATCAGGCAGCGGCATCATAGGTTCACAGGTTCACGTGGAAATGACACCCTCTGAATACGGACTTCACCGGTGTCGATATACGCAAAAATGTACTCAGAGTAACAGAAATAAAATCAACACGATAAAGAAAATTTCAGCGAAAGAGGGCACCCCAGCGAACCGGCCCTCTTCCCCGCTGGCTTGGTGAGCCAGTGGTCACTTGGTGACCACTCATCACAGGAGCAACCTCAGAGTTAAACCGCAGTGGCCCCGTCATTGGTCACGTCATCTGTGATGTGATTGGGATTCGATCGCTCGACCTGAGAGTGGGGAACCGGCGCCTCTTTGCCCTCGGCCACCGAGTCAGTAAGCGGAAAGCGGAGCATAATGTGACCGGCTTGAATCGCACTGAACGAGCTCTGCGTGCGGATGGTTCTGGGCCGCGGGTGCCGGTGCGCCGTAGCAGGGGCGGCGGTGCCGCGGCGGGCGCTGCAGGGCGTCGCATGGCCTGCGCGGTGTAGTGCGGCTGGGCCTACGGCGGCCCGCGCGGCCTCTAGACGCGGCACGCGGCGGCGGCGGCTCACAAGGCGTAAAGCTCCTAAATTTAAACCGCGTGTCTCAACACCGGCAGCGGCGGCAGCATGCACCGGGCTGTCGCGCAACCGCGCCGCGACGCAGCTAGACAAGGCGCCACCGACCGCCGTAGAGCCTTAGGGCCTCAGAGCCCTCGGCCCGCCGGTCTCTGCCCCGCGCCCAGCTCGACCGCCTCTCCTTTTCGAGCTCTTCCTGTTCCTTTCTATCTTGGGGCCCGCCAGCCGCCCTTGCCGCCAGACAGAGCAGGGGCAGCAGGATGAGCAGGGGGGGGATAAAGCCATATCCGACGACGGCGCCACATGGCGGGGATGGGGACTGTCCCTATTGACGAGCCCCGTGGATACATCACCGCAGGTCCGCCTGTCAGTCCGTCTGTCTCTGTCGCCGCTGCACAGTGGGCCAGAAGACCGGTGGAGGCGGCCAAAACTCCAGACGCGTTTTGAGCTCCAGAGTCGCTAAACTGGACTCAAACCGAACGAGTGACCCCACCAATGGATTGCTCTCCGAACGAGGAATCCATTGGTGGGGTCACACGTTCGGTTCGAGTCCCATTTAGCGACTCTGGAGCTCAAAACGCGTGTAGAGTTTTGTCCGCCCCCACCGGTCTTCTGGCCCACTGTGCGCTGTCGCCCTGTCTGCCGCGCGGCCAGCAGCAAAGCGCTCCGTGGATTTGCCCCCTCCCCGCTGTGTGTACTATGGATGTCGTGCGTTTTTCTACCCTCATCGCCGGCCGCCATCGACACGACACGCGCGAGCAGCAAGCACGCGAGAGAGTGGGTGTGCTCGCCGCGCGCCGCGCACTACAGCCGTGTTGACCAGCCTGCCTGACAATCAACCGGCAGCCCTGCCGAGCGGACAGGTTGCTTTGCAGCGCGGGTTCAAATACTCCAACTACAAAAAAAATCGTATTTTTTAGGGATTGGGGGGCGTCTGTTTTGCGGTCTGGTAGACCCCTCTGCCTTTTGCGCACGCAGTGGCTTGATGACCCGCGCCAGCTGCACTTCCGGCGCGCCCTGCTCGGGGAGGTTGACGGGGACCTCGACGACGCGGACCTCGACGACGAGGACCTCGACGGGGACGGGCGCCGAGGAGAGAGGGCCGTGCCCCGGCCAGGCTCGCGCTGATCAGTGCTCTCTCTCTCTCTCTCTCTCTCTCTCTCTCACCCTTGAGGGCCGCCTCGTAAGCGCGAGAGAGACGGAAGAAGCTGTCTCGGAACGAGCCTGCGGTGGCGCGGTGTGGGAGTGTCGCGGAATGTGAGCAGAAAAGTGGGAAGGGGAGGGGAGGGGAGGGGAGGGGGCGTCCTCTTCTCCCTCCGCGCAAACTAGCGGGACAGGTGCAGCTGGGAAAGGGAAGCTGCTCTCTTGCTTTCATTGCTGCCGTTGTTTACGTCGGGGCGGTCCCGGGGGGTGTCTTTGGTGTCTGGCCTCCGCGACAGCAGTACCGCGACAGGCAGCCCCCCAGGGGGCCCTGGGCTGGGCATCGTGCTCCATTTCCAAGGCTTTGTCCGTCGAAAAGAAGCAGCGCTGCCCGTTTCGGCCGGGCGGGCACTGATTGTTCCAATGGGAGGGCGTTTACAGTGTGGGCCCCCGCGGCCCCCGCGGACGCCGATGCACGTACACTGCAGGCGCTGCAGGCTGATTGGCACCGTGCACTGTTTGCTAACAAGCCAGCCGCGCGGCCGGCCGGCCGGACACACAGTGTGTCACGCACGGCGCATCGCCGCAAGTTGGCACCACTGCTCGAGATACCCTCACGTACGGCACGGACGTGCAGGTCGTGCAGTTGGCAGTGCGGCCCTCGGCGTCGGCCAGCCATCGGCCGACGACCCACCGCCGCCCCGCGCCCCGCCACGCCCCGCCACGCCCCGCCCGTCGTTCGACAGCCCTGAGGCGCTGAAGTCTGATAGGGACGGCGTATTTTAATTGAAGAACCCTCGACAAGTCTGACGACCCCCAGACCGTCGGGAAGGTGGATCAACGCAGCCCCCTGGACCTGGACCTTCTTTCTCCCGGCCGACAGCGCGCCCGTCGGGGGGAGTGGCCCTGGGGGACCGACTTACTGTGTTTGGGGCTATGACAGCCGCGTTTTCGGCAGGTCGAAACAGCGAGCCACGATGTGCGGCCGTGCGTCCCTGGGGCCGCTTCATCGACAGGCTGATTCCGAAAAACGGTTTCGTCGGCCTGTCTCGCACTGGGGCGTCTCGTAGGGCTGCGAGAGAGACAGAGCGACCAGGATCGCCTCGGGGACCAATGCGGCGGCCGGCCGGTGTAACCCGGTGTAACCCGTCCCGCGACGACCCGACGACTCAATGACGCCCTTGGTGGCGGGGAGGGAGGGGAGGGGCGGTGAGTAACCGCCGCATATAGGCAGCGCAGCGCGCAGCGCGCCCAGACCGCCGGCCGGGCCCGCCCCGCCACGGTGGCGGTAGTGGCCGTGGGGCCTCGCGCGGCTTGTATTTATTTTTACCCCCGTTGGACCGTTGGACGTCGTGAGGACGTGCAGGCCGGACGCGGCGCCGCCACCCCCGCCAGGCCGCCAGGCCGCCACACGCATCGCGGCGGCAGCGCGGCAGCGACGCGGACCGAAGGGGACGCCGGGCCAGGCAGGCCGACGGACAGGCCGAGGATTGCCGTAGATCATCTTTCAGCGCTTCGATCCGGCGCGCCTCGAGCGCGAGCGCAGGGGGCCCGGCCCGGCCCGGGTCGGCCGGCGACTCAGCGCGCAGCGCGCTGTCGTATGCATGGCCCTCATCACCGCGCCATCCCCTTGGAAAGTGGCGCCGCCCCGCCCCGCCCCACCCCAGGTCTCAGGTCGATAGCCACTTATGTCATATGCATGCGCTAAGAAGCACCCGGTGTATAGGGGTGCCCCCCGTCCAACAGGCGCCACCCCGTGACCCCCTGGTGTCACCCTGGCCGAGTGGCGACTCTAGCCGCGCGCTCGCCGGGGGGCGAGGGGGCGCACTCCGCCCGCCGTTGTGGCGGGGCTGTGGCGGGGCTGTGGCGGGGCTGTGGCGGGGCTGTGCAGTCCAGCGGCCCGAGTCCACCGAGTCCAGCAGTATGGCTGGAGAGATCCACGCGACTGGCCGAGCGTCGGGGCAGCGCACCCCGAGACCGGGCCACTGTGGGGAACCTAATCGGAGGGTACGTGCAAGGTGCAGCAGGCAGTGCAAACAGCGCAAACACGGCGACGCGGCCGGTAGTCGAACCCGCGTCCTCTAGGGTTGTTGACGCGGCGGAGTGACCAGTTGCATCACGTCGTCACTGGTAACAATGTAACGCGTCTCGTCCGCGCGTTCCGCTTTACAGTGGCGTTAACAACCCTGGAAGGAGGCGAGGTCGCGTGGCTCACTGCCCAAATGTTGACGGCCTGGCCAATTCGCGCTCCGTTTCGGATGCCGTTGCGCGACTGAAAGGTGAAAAGCGAAAATCCGCTAATGCCGGGACTTGAACCGGTGACAGGATGACGCTGCCTGAGGCGACGCCATCGACGCCAGCGAGGCCGGCGAGGCCAGCGAGACCAGGGACGCCAGCGCTCTCCGTCGGCGTGGTGTCTCCAGCGCGGCCGGAGGGGCCGGAGGGGCCGGAGGGGGAGGAGGGGGAGGACCGCGGGGACCAGAGGGCGCCAGTGCTGTCGCCGGGGTCGGACGCCTCCGAGGACTCGTCGCAGTCGTCGTCGGGCAGCCCGAAGACGACCAAGGGCAGCAAGATGGCGCACACGCTGGCGGACTCGCTGAACGACGCGCTGGGCGACATCATGATGCGCGATACGCTGGGCGACGCGCTGGGCGACACGCTGGCCGACGACGAGTCGGATCGCTACGCCGCCGCGTCGGCAGCGTCGGCCGCCAGGCGCCGCTCGTCGGACTGGGTGCCGGCCGCCGGCACGCCCATGAGGGCCATCATGGACGGCGCCACGGTGCCCACGCTGCCGCGGTACATCTTCAAGGCGCACGAGATGACGCAGAGCGTCAGGAACATCCTGCAGGTACGCGCCCCCCGCGCCCCTCACGCCCCGCCCACATCCACGCACTCGACGAGTTCAGATCACACGCACCCATCATGTCGAAACAAACAGGCAAGCTCGCGATGTGACTGCGGACCGAACCGGGATCCCCAAATTCGGAGGCACGACGCTAACCCCCTGCGCCACGCAGCCACCCAGCCACGCCCGGTGAACGGGCGCGGCGGCGGCGGCCCCAGGCACTCTGACAGCGCTTCCTCGTAAATCAAAGCGCGCACTTCCATTACATTGACAGAGTTTCGAAAGGAGAGCCAATACGACTTCCCACGACGAGCCGTCCTTCCAACACGCACCGCGCCGCGCCCCCACTCGGACCGCGAGGCGAGGCGGCCAGCGACAGCGGCGTTTTGTTTAATATTCATACGCACGCCGCGACCGCGCCTAGACTCGCCCCCATTCCAGTTGTTGCTGCTGCCACAACAAAGTGTGGGCAAATCCACCGGGTGCGATATGCCCGCTACACTGCAAGGGTGCCCCCCCCCCTTTCCCCCGGTGTAGCTTCGCCACTGCTTCAGGGGAACACAGCTAATCTCTCTGTCGGAGGCCTCGGCCTCGGGGCCTCACTTGAATAGTGCCACCCAGCCAGTAGTTTGGTTCCGAACAGTGCTTCGTCGCTCTATCTCTCTCGCGGCCCGAAGGTGTCCCACAAGGTCCCACAGGTGTGAGAGAGACAGAGCGACGAAAGCACTGTTCGGTAATGATTCATCGGCCAATCAATGTATCGACGCGCTGCAGCACGGCCCGGCCGGCGGAAGCGCGCGACGCACTTACAGTGTGACGAGGGCCGCGGGGGTCGGCGCCTTCGGTGGGCTGCTTCCGAACGGTGCTCTGTCTCTCTCGCACCCCAATGAGGGATGGCGCGAAGTGTTCGGACTCAGCCTGCCGGCATAGCGGAGCGGTGATACAATCGTCATTTTCCTCATACTCTCCTGTACATCCTCATCGATCCGTGGATTGGCTGGAAATTATTAAGGAGGGTCCCTGAGCTGGAGAGGACGCAGTGGAGGACGACCCGCCAAGGGTGCACCGGCACGGCCTGCACGGCCTGCACGGCGCATTAACGCCACCGTTAGCACGTGTCAGCACGCGTTGGCACGTCGGCGGCATGGCGCGGTGACGCCCCGCGCGACAGTCGTGATTACGCTGAGCCCTCCGCCGGGGCCCTGAGCCCTTCGGGGCAGAGGGGGAGGGGAGGGGGAGTCCCTCCGCACGTGTGACAGAGGCTCACGCCCGTTCGGGAATGGAACTAAAACGGTGGCGTGTTTTCGGTCCCCAGGAGTGCCTGCACACTGACGTCATCCTGGTGGCGGCCGACGAGGAGGTCCCCGCGCACAGCAAGGTCCTCAAGGAGCACGGCGGCGCGCTGTTCGCCATGGTGAGCAATACGCGCAGAGTGTGCAGCAAGCGCGTCACGCCGAAGGACATTGAAATGGTGTGTCTTGCCTCCAGGCGGAGGCGACGGGCCCCGACGGCCGCGTCCCGCTGCCCGACATGTCCGGCGAGGTGCTGCTGGAGCTGCTGCGCTTCGTGTACACTGCCACGGCGCCCGCGGTGGGCCGCATGCCGCGCGCCCTCATGGCGGCCGCGCACACCGCCGGGCTGGCCGAGCTCAAGGGCCGCTGCGCCGAGGTGCTGGTGCAGCGGCTCGACGTGCACAACGTCACGGAGATCTTCGAGCTGGCCGACAAGAACGAGGAGGAGCGCCTGAAGCGCGCGGCCGCCGTGCTGTTCCTGGAGAACGCCCAGGAGGTAGGCAGTGTGGCGGCCACGCGACGCACCCGTGTCACGCGGGTCGGCCTACCCGGAGGCGCCCGCCGCCTGCCAAGTCCAGGGTAGGCCGACCCGCCACGCGCGCCGGTCGCGCTGCGCGGCCCGCCCTGGCGTCCGCAGGCGCTCCGCCTGTAACGTTCCTCCGCTTCCTGGCCAAGGTCTACGAGACGGAGGAGTGGCACGCGGCGCTCGACCTGCGGCCCGCGGCCGTCATGCGCCTCGTACACATCGCCGTCACCAAGACCGCCACGGACTTCGGTTCCCTGAGCACGGGCACGCGCATCGTGCACCTCATCGCGCGCATCTACATGGTGGCCATCGTGCCCGTCGTCGGCTACGTGCTGTACGCCACGGTGAGTTCAAGCGGCCTGTCCTGGACGGGACACCGCGAACACTTCAATATCTCTCTGACGACTGTCTCCGCTGCGCAGGTGCGCAACAAGCTGAAGGCCTTCAAGGAGGGCAACAGCACGGCCACGGTGCCCACCACGGCGGCCGAGGTGGTCACCACGGTGGTGGCCGCCGTCAACCAGAGCGCGGCCGCGGCTCTCGGCCTGGAGGAGGACGACTTCTTCGCGTCAACGAATGACGAGCTCTAGACGCGAAGGCTGTTTCATTATTTCGATTTGTTGATGTTGTTGTTGTTGTTGTTACTGGTGTCAGTTTTTATTGGAGAGATGTTGCGGACTGCCACGGCCGGAAGACCGAACTGCGTCGCTACCCCCGCCGCCAGCACTCTCCAACGATCCCCATGGAGTGTCTGCCGCACGGGGTCGCGACAGCACCGCAGTTCGATTCTTTTGTCCGCGCCGCCGCAGCGCCGCAGCAGTACTGGGAGCACCGCGCCATTCCCGCGCCTGTCGATGCCGTGGACGTAGGAGGCCACATTCCGCGTTGTTGTGTCTTGTTGTTGTTTTTCAGAGTCATTAATAATTTTAGACCACATAAAATGTTCTTCTTGTTTTTCCCAGTATGGCCCGGGTTTGTGGGGACAAGTGCATGCTCGGCGGGCGGGGGACCGAAGGGGGACCCATCCGCGTGGCGTGTGGGTGATTGTCGCGTGGGCGTCCGGCGCCGAGCCGTGCCGTGCCGTGCCGAGCCACACCGTGCCGTGCCGAGCCGTGCCGTGCCCGCTGCCAATGCGGCACGCCAGCCAACTCCATCACGCGGCGTTGCCACCTTAGCGGCGTGCATGTATACATTCATGGAAAAGCCGGTGGAGTGCGCCCGCCCCGGCCCGGCCAGCCCGGCCTCCTGGCACTCGTTCTCCTTCTCGGCGAGCTCGGCCCTTGCCGCCGCCGCCGCTGCCGCCGGGGCCTGCTGGGAGTGCCTGACTGCCTCCGGCACCTCGATGGCGGCGGCGATGGCGTGGCGGGGCGTGGCCGCGTCTGCCCACGCGAGGCGACGCGGCGACGCGCGGGTCAGCCGGGCCGTGCCGCCGGGCCGCCGGCCGTCCGCAGACGCCGTCTAGTTTGGCACTTCTCTGAAGCAGCCGCTGACGCGCGCCGACGGGCAGGGCGAGGCGAGGCAGGCAGCATTCCTCCGCATGACCGGTGGCGGGCAGCGCGAGGGCGGGCTGAGGCTGCGCCCCGGAAGCGCCGCGCGCCGCCCGAGTGAACCTCCGAAAAGGCTGAAGTGACTCGGGTTCGAATACCAGCGGCGGCAACTCGGTTTTCCATCAAGTGGCGCGTCGAGGCCTATGCGGGCTGAAATGGTCAATTAAGGGTGTCGTGCCGGCTGTCTCTGGAACACTGCCTTCCTCGCTGTCTCTCTCGCACTCATGGGGTCTGGGGGGAGAGAGAAGCCCTGTTCGGAATCTGCGCGCAGGACCCTCGGCTCCCTAATTACTCCAATCTTCGTCTCATTCCGTTTCATCTCACGGAGCAGGCCGAGCAGCGCCTCGGACCTCCGGCCTCTCTGCTGGGACATTACCAGCCGACACGGCGCGGCGCGGCGCGTGTCGCATTTCTCTCTCGTTTGCAGGCCGCGTGACACGGACGCCATTTTTTTTTGCCGTAGGCTGTTTTCATTTTTCGCTGAGGCAGTGGTTTTCTTTTAGAACCATTGTTCTTTTGCGTATCGGTAAGCCTCGTCTTTATTTCTTCAACGACAGGGTGGTTTAAGAATTTGGCTTTGTATATCGGATAATTACTTCAACTTGAATCTACCTCGTTTCCCTTTTTTTTGCGTGAGAACAAAGACAAATCAGGGAAACAAAACGAAAGGCGGTGACAGTGTAGGAACCAGGGACTCACCCAAGGCGACATGACTGCTCCCGGTGGCCGAGGCCGAGGCCCGGGCCCAGGGCCCTCCCCAGAGTCTGCGGGCCGAGCCGCAGGCCGCTCAGGCTCGGCCGTCGCAGCCGCTCGCTTCACGGCCGTGGATTGGCGGGCGGGGCGCCTCCACTGCTAACGCGGTAACCACCATCATCGGCGCCGAACGCCGCGCCAAACGCAGCGCGCAGATTGGCCACTTTACTGCCGACGCCCAGCATCATTCGGGAGCACCACTTTCACCATCACCACCACCACGGAGAGTGTGAACGACGGAGCACTACAACAACAGCCGTGGCAGCACGGCGGGGAGCACGACAACACCGTCACAACACAGCACTCGCGACGACGCGCCGGGAACGCGGCGGGCGGACGGGGCGGACGCGGGTCGAAGCCGACTGAACCGCAGCGGTGCGTGCGCGGCGCGCTGGAGCGCTGGGGCCGCTGGAACAGCGCCGCTGTCATGTGCGAATGAATGAACCAGCCCGGCGCGGCCCGGCCGGCCCGCTGGAGCCTGGAGGACCCGGGGAGGGGGGGAGTGCAGTCGCGTGCCGCGCGTTGGCGTCCTGGACCGCGGCGGTGCAGACGGCGAGGGGAGGGGGGTACTCGTGCGGGTTAGACGGAGGCGGAAGGACAAAGACAGCCCAAAGATGAAGGGCTCGGAGGCAGTGTGGCAGCTGGCCCGGGCCTCCTCAGGCTAAAGTTAAGGGGACGACAAGGCACCCAGAAAGCAGCAAAGCAACACTCCCCCCCGTTGTCGATGTGGTTGCTGTGTGCACGCCGTGTTGCCGCTGCTGGCCGAGGTAAGTGACCTGCGCGACGCTCTATTGGGCCTGCTGGGTGGCGCCGTGCCGGCCGCGCTGGCTGGCCGCGCAGTGTGGGCGTCGTCGTCGCGGTCGCCGGAAACACTCGCTCTTCCACGCGTTGCGGCAGGTCGCGTCCGCTATCAGGTTCGTCCGCCAAGCCACTCACAGTGTTTCTGTTTGTTTTTGGTGCTTGAGGAGGCTGCTTGACACGACCACCACCACCACCACCTAGACCACCACCACCACCACCACACCACCAACAACAACAACAACAACAACAACAACAACAACAACAACAACAACAACAACAACGACAACAAAGACAACAAAGATAGAAAATTAGTTGTTGGAAGCAAAAGGGACCGGGGACGCGACGCCTCTTCGAGACTCCCATAGAGTGACTGAAAGTGGCACGATAACGACCACAAATCCCACTTTGGCGACAGTCGCTCCGCAACATTGTGTGTCCCGGCTGTCGCGCTGTCGCCAAGCAAACGCCGCAGTCTGAATCGCAATCAGCACTTAAATGTCATAGAAAACGATCGCGACGCCAGCCAACTCGAATGCAGAATCCGAGCTGCGTTTCTAATCGCGTTCATCCCGATTCCGCGAGTCTATTCCGCCGCTCCGTCTCTCTCGCACCCACAGGGAACGCTCCGCGGCTCCGCGAGTGCGAGAGAGACAGAGCGACGGAAAGACGACTCTCGAAAGCGGGCTTTATTGAATGCGTCGGGTCGGGGCGTCGCAGGGCGCTGCAGGTCGCAGGCCTTGCAGGAGGCCTGCCTTTTGCATGCGCGGCATGCCCGCCAGAGATGATGAGATGCGATGCGTTCGAACCATGGCTCTTTATGGAGTGCTGGCCCCTTTCGCCCGCCCTGCCCGCTGCGAGGATCCTTGGATCCGGAGAGGGGGGGAGAACGGGAACGCGTGCTGCGTGGGTTGGGCCGCTATTAGTCGATTTGAAGGTTCGACATGTTGTACTGCACGGCGGCCTGCTTGTCCTTGGCGCCGCTCGCCGTGCACCGCGAGCACGCCGTTCCGCTAGCGACCGCCTCTTCCTCTCTAATAACAACCCGCTCTCTCTCTCTCTCTCTCTCTCTCTCTCTCTCTCTCTCTCTCTCTCTCTCTCTCTCTCTCTCTCTCTCTCTCTCTCTCTCTCTCTCTCTCTCTCTCTCTCTTCTCTCTCTCTCTCCCTCTGTCCCTCTCGTCGAGGCGTCCGCGCGTAGGCGAACAAGCTCTCGATAAATGCCTATACAACGCCCTCTGGAATGGCTCCTGATGGGCTGCTACAATTTTCTCCTACTTGCAGTCGGCGCGGGAACGGTGGGGACTGTTTCGACTGAAGTAGCATTTGGTTTGTGTCTATACCAGACCAATGTGGCAAGCTCAGCAGGGTATTTATCACTAATGGGCAGTGTAACTGAAGTAGGAGCAAGACATGATCGGGTATACCAACTTGAACTTGTTCTAGTATTTTCCAGCTGATTTTCGTCCAAATTTCACGACTATCGAATAACTCTTTTTTTTATGCCGATTGATTTATGCCGATAATTTTCACACGCAAATTCATCCGCTAATTTTTTTTTTTCTTCTTTTGCGATCCTTGGGCCGTGGAGTCCTTTGACGGCGTGCTCGGCGCTCGGCGCGGCCACCTGTCCCGTCCTGTCCGTGCCGCTGTGTCCTCGCCGCGTCCTCGGCCGCGCGAAGCCCGAACCGAAAAATCCAAATCCGGCCTCGCATTTAGCGATTCTGACAGGCCGGCCAGGCGGGCCGGGAGGCGCGACAGACGTATTGGCAGAGCGTGCGGCGTGGCGCGGGCCTCTCTTGGACAGGACAGGTCCGTGGGCGCGGCCAGCGCGGCCGGCGCGGCGCAGACGACCAAGTCCGACCACGCTGCGCGGCTGTGCCACGGCGGCCGGGTCGGGACGTGGCGGGGCGGGGCGAGGCGGGGCGGCTGTGAAAAATGTTTAATGGCGAGGAATTAACGATCTATTCTACGGAAGAAGGGCGTGTGCCTCTGGCCGCCTCTGGCATCACCACATTGTGCGGACGGCCGCGTGTGCCAACCTAGCGGTCGCTGGCGGTCGCCATCATCGGCGTCGACGGGGACCATCGGGGACCAACTCGGGGGCCGACGGGGACTCGGACTGCCATTGGCTGAGCCGCTCGACGAGCGCGGCCATCACCGGAGCACCATTCACCGGCACGGCCTGCACGGCCTGCAGGCTGAGAGAGTCGGCGTCGTCGCTCTGGCTCTCTCGAACTCATGCGGCGTCCCGTGCAGATGCAAGAGGGACAGAGCGACGAAACGGACTCTCGGACTGGCGGTGCGACGAGGAGGTTCAGGTCGCTGCGTCGGACGGCGCTGCTGGGTGCCGGGCCCTGCAGGGCCGCCGGGCAGTGGACGAGTATCGACTGAACAAGCAGTCCAATTTAATTGGCCATCTACCTCAAGAGCGGCGAGTGTTACGATCGAAATCTAAATACTGACAAAGTAAGGACACGCAGAAAATAAAGTCACTCCGTGGATAGCACTTTAAACGCCCACTCTCCAAATATTGACGTCGGAAATTGGCAGGTGTGTCAAACAGGATCCGTGCCAAACCAACCGGAGGCAAGTCCAAACACCTCAACGCGATTTTACCTCTCCGGACTCACACGGGAGCCTTGCGTGAGGACTGGAAGCCCCTGAGCTGCACGTCCCTTTGCGCGCGAAAAATAAAATATGAAAGGGCGTGATGTGCCGAGCGGCGTTCGGGCGTTCGGGATCCGAGCCGAGCCGAGCCGAGCCGAGCAGGGCCGCGCGAACGCCGAGCCGGGACCGGGCCGCGTCGGGCGAAATCTCTTTCATGCTCTGCTGGGCGGGCAGGAACGCCTTAACGCCTTGTACGGCGCAGCGCCCCGCCCCGCCCCGCCCCGCCCCGCCCCGCCCCGTTCGACCGCCTTCTCCCGAACTTCCTTTGCCATCCGACGGAACGCAACAATATTTCCAGCCCACTCCTCATTGGACGGCCGAGCTGGCAAGATAATGGACAGTTTGACAGTCCCTGATGTATCATAATTCGATGCAGTGTGGGTAATCCGGGCCGCGGCCTGGTCGCCCAGCTCGGGGCGGGGCGGGGCGGGGCGGGGCGGGGCTGGATGTCGCAGCAGAAAGTACTCCAAGCGACTGAATCGCGGACGCCCACCCTGTTGCCACCTAAGGTGCAGGCAAGAGGTCCCACGGTCGCTTTGAGAAAGAAATCGCTCACACGTGGACAACGTCCTATTAAGTATCAACTTCCTTTTTTCCTCGGCGGCTAGACTGGACTGGAACGAGAAAGCCGGCTGTCTGCGTGTGTGAACGGCGGACGTGTTAACACGAAATAATAAGGGGCAGCACCCCGCCCCGCCCCGCCCCGCCGCGATGATATCGGATACGCGCCTCCCCCTCCCCCCTCTCCCTCCCACGGGGTGTGTTGTCCGTTCCTAAACGACCGGCCTCCATTCACAGACTCGTCGACCAAATGTGACCGCTCTGGCGCGCTCGTGTGTCATCGGATTGGAGGGGCCGTCCGTAAGAGCGCTGCCCTGGCGCTGCCTCGATAAGTCTCCCGGCAGGACCGGGCGGCTCTGCCCAAAGTGTGCGCGGTCTAGGCGTTCCTGAGGCGGAGCGTGAGAGAGAGGAAAGAACAACAACAGTCGGACCAAAGTTTGCAAGCATCGCCGACATTTTCACGCGGTTTTGTTTATTTCTGTCCCCTCGCTTAGCGACGGGCCCTCGCGCCCCGCCCGTGTTTTCGGCCCCGGGTAATTAGCTCCGAACACGGGCTGAGCTCTGAGCTATCGCCGCGGTCTTCGCGACTCTCGCCCTTGACGCGGCGTCGCTCGCTCGGCGTCGCTTGGCGCGTTTCACGGGATTTGCTTCTCTCTATTCGCCCACGGAGCGCCTCGCCCAGACCCATTCCGAGAGTCGTTTCCAATCTGCCTGTCGCTCTCGCACTCCTTGGGCGTCCCTATCGGTGCGAGAGAGACAGAGCGACGAGATGGGCTCTCGGAATCGGTGCCGCTGGCTGGCCCGGCCGGCCCGGCGCGTGGACAATGATGCCCTGCCAGCGGCGCAGGGCGCCCCGGGGTCGGGACGACGATTTGCAGTGACGGGTCCTGGGCCCTGCTTCGCACAGCAGGACGATAAGAAAACAATAAGAGCAGGGAAAGGACGACGGCGGCGCGCGGGCGGCAATCGTATTTTCCTCGCTTTCCCTGGGTGTGTGTGTGTGTCTGTGTGTGCAGCGCTCGGTGGACCGCTAGGGGCCCGGCTCGGCAGCGGACCGAATCCATGTTAATATTTTTAATGGAGTGTGGACGCCATTGCCGCGCCGTCGTTGAGTCCCGTCCCGTGCCGGCCGTGGCCGTGTCCCGCGAAAGGTGCGTGGGGTTCGGGTCGTTTCGGGCCGGCAGGCCGCGGCTCGGCCGGCTCGCCATCAAGGTGGTCATCACGCCGGGGCCACCATGTAATGGCGTGTTGTTAATGACTGCGGCCTGCAGTTTCCTTGTAGCCGCCAAATCGCCTTCCAAGAGTGCTTGTAAATGCGTTATCGGAGCTCCGGGCCGCGGCGCGCGCTTTTGTCGCTCTGTCTCTCTTGCACCCGTCGTGCGTCTCGTAGGGGTGCGAGAGAGACAGAGTGAGCCTGCTGGCCGATCCGGTGGTCGCCGACGTCGTCGTCGCGGTGGTCGCGGTGCCGCGGGCTGAGAGTGGCCTCCGTCCAGCGTCGCCTCGCCCGGCCTCGCCCGGCCTCGCCCCTCGAGCCTTCCGTTGGAAGCCCGCGCAATAAATTTGTGCCGCGCGGTCGCCCGGAGCCCAAACGGGCGGAAGGCAGTGGAAGGCAGCAGGGCGCCCACACGGCGTCACCGAGCCGCCACTCCGCCTCTGGGGACCTCCACCTGCAGGCTGAGTCCAAACAGCGCTCCGTCGCTCTGTCTCTCCCGCACCCCTACGGGGCGCCCCGCGAGTGCGAGAGGGGCAGAGCGGCCCCCTACTGGGCCTGGGGCTGCGCGAACCCCGGCCTGGCCATGGACTGTCTCTCCTTCCTCCCCTCCACCGTCCTCTACGCCGCCCGGCCGACGGGCCGCCCGCAAGACGGCAGCCCTGCCTACAGTGGAGGCCGATGGGCTGCCCTCCTCCACGGGGCCGCTGAGACGACGACGGCCGGCTGCAGCGGGGCGCGCTCGCTCGGGCCTCTTCGCTTGCTTCGCTTGCTTCGCCGCCATGCGGGCGGCCGGGACTTGCTTTCCTCGTAAAGGCGGCCGAAAGGTCAAGACCAGGCAAGTTCAGGTACGCGGCCGGTCCGTGGCGGCATCCTGTTGCCGACGGCGCAGCGGCGCGGCCGCGATGCCTCTCCGTCTCTCTTCGGCACTCGCCCTTGATGAAAGAGAGAGAGAGGAACTGTGTTTGGAAGTCGGCCTGCCGGTGGCTAGTATGCAGAATGCAGCCGGTCCTCCAGACGTACAGAGACGAGCTTGCAGTGTGCCCGCATCATCGCATACGTCCCGCCCCGCCCCGCCTCGGCCAGCGTGAGGTCACGCCTGTTTATAGAGGAGGTCGCGCAGGCCACCTCGACCTTGCTGAGCGGCCCCACGACCATTGCGGAATCGAGAAAATTGAATTGTTGTAATCAAGGTTGGTGCGAGCGACGCTCGGGATTCAGTTTATCTTGCATTGTATTGAAAGGACTATGGGGGCGCAAAAGAAAAATCGAGTCCCGTTTTCTTTATAAACATACGTAAAATAAGCAGTTTTATTGGCAGGTACAAGTGCTTACATAATAACGGTGTTTCTAGCAAGTATCATTAAAATAGGTAATACGACAGGGAGAATAATCGAAACTGTCTTCAAAAAGCCAGGAGACTCTCTGCAGGATGGATAGGGGATAAATTATTCATGACTGGAGCTCCGGATGAGATTCAAAGACTCCGCTTAGGTGTCCGTCCGTCCGTCCGTCCGGCGCAGAAGAACGCCGTCCGTAAGTACAGGAGTGGGGCCGCCTTATATCACAGACTTTAGCACAAAGCAATACATTTTTTGCCCGGGTGCGTCATTCGGCTGGCTGCACAGGGGTTCCTCACAGCCGCTCCACGGCGTGGTTGGCGCTGCCGTTGCTGCTGCTGGCGGGGTGGCCCTCGTCGCCCTGGAAGGCCGTGTTGGCGACGCCGCCCAGGTCGTCGTTCTTCTTGGCGTCCTCGGCCTCCTCGCGGGCCTGCCGCTTCTGCATCCTCCAGATGACGCTGCGGCAAAGGGCCAGCCAGTCAAAAAATGAAAAGAGGTGTTGGGAGTCGATCGGCCGACCGGAGGGTCGGTACTCACAAGTACAAGAGGACGCCGCACAGGTTGACGGCGCAGCTGATGTAGAAGAAGGCGCCGGGGTGCGTGTCGGAGGACGCGCTGTACGCCTTGCTGTAGACGGGCCGGAACACGAGCGGGATCACGGCCTCCACCACGGCCAGCAGCGCCATCACCTTGCCTGCGGACAGAGCGCCGAGCGCCGGCTTGAGACACTGTCTGTCGTCCTGCTCGACGGTGTGCCAGTCGGCGGTCGTATCGTACCCAGCTCGTCGTCGTCCACGAGCTTGGTGGCGATGCCTCGCATCGTGATGATGGCGCCCGCGCCCAGGATGTTCTCAGCAGTCACTGGAATTCGACAAAAGAATTCAACGACATTGTAAGCCACTTCGCCGCCAGCTGGCTGATTCCAAACAATGCTTTCGTCGAGGCGTCCCTTGTGGGTGCGAGAGAGACGGCACTTACGCGCATAGACGTGCCAGCTCTTGTTGGCGAGCGCGAAGAGCGGCGCCACGACGGTCTTGGAGCTCATGGCGATGACCCCGATCAGGCAGTCGCTCATGTTGAGCCACTTGGCGAAGACGGTGGTCGCCACGAAGTTGCCTGCCACGTTATTACTTTTCATTAAGGCGCCCAGAACGGCCATTCGTTTAATTTGTTGGTGGTGGTGTACTCGCCGACGGCGCTGAGGATGATGAAGTAGGTGCTGTAGGCGCTGAACGCGATGGCCTCCCACTGGAACTGCTGCGTCAAGTAGAGGAAGGAGACGATCCCCTCGCCTGCGGACACAGAGCCTCCGAGTTAGCAGTGTGCGTTCGCCGTGCGCCGCACAGTGGGCCAGAAGACCGGTGGAGGCGGTCAAAACTCCAGAAGCGCTTTGAGCTCCAGAGTCGCTAAACGGGACTCGAACCGACCGTGAGACCCCACCAATGGATTCCTTGTTCGAAGAGCAATCCATTGGTGGGGTCACACGTTCGGCTCGAGTCCCATTCAGCGACTCTAGAGCTAACGCGTCCGGAATTTTTACCGCGCCTCCGCCGGTCCTTCGGCCCGCTGTGTGCCGGTACACTGGTGGTGCTCACCTTGAATGGGCCCCTGGATGGTGAAGTACAGCAGCACCAGGATGTAGAACTGCAGGCGCCGGCTGCCGCGCCGCTTCTTCAGGGCCACCTTCACGGTGTCCCACACGTGCCGCCAGTTGCAGAAGTCCGCCAGGAAGCTGACGCTGCGGGCAGAACACGGGGGGCGGCATGGTTACGGGGGACGCACTGCGGAAACTCGCATCGAAATCCGAAGTGACACGCACCCTGGCGGCCGCGGCACCGGCGGGTGCGGCTCGCGGATGTAGCGGTAGCCGTAGGCCAGGCCCAGGCCGTAGAGCGCGATGCTCACGATGTAGACGCCCGTGAAGCCCAGCGTGGTGAAGGCCACCCCGGACAGCGCGCTGGCGATGGGGAAGCCCCAGGACACGGCGGTCGCCACCATGCCGATGCGGAATGTCCTGTTCTCGGGCGTGGTCACGTCCGCCACGTACGAGAAGACGGACAGGAACAGGATGGGCATGCCGCCGAACAGCGCGGGGACGAGGGACTCGATGATGCCGGCCACCTGCAAGCAAGCCAAGCAGGCCAACGCCGTGGAGGACCGTCGTCGCCGCGCGCCAGACCACCGCCACCGCGCGTCGACGGCCACCTCACCTCCAGCGACCAGCTGAAGAAGATGGAGCAGAGCAGCAGGCCCACGCTCGAGATGAGGTCCCCGAGCAGCGGCGACAGGATGAAGGGTCGCCGTCGCCGCCGGCGGTCCGCCCAGGACCCCACGAACATGACCAGGATGATGGGCACCACGCTCTGCAGGGGCGTCTGCCAGATCTGCATCTCCGCCACCACCTGCGCCACCTGCAACGCCAAACAAAAGCATAACAGGTTTTTTTGTCGTTTTCTTTCTTCCAGTTTAAAACAGACTTTTATTTGTTTTCTCTTGGCGCCGAGCGCCTGCGAAGTCGGGGGTAGGCCGTCCCGCAACGCACCGACGCCGCGCGGGCCGGCCCACGCCGCATTACCATTACCACTACGGGCCAGACCACACATGATCGTATGCCATTTCGGGCCCGCGCTTCGCAGGCTCGAGGCAGGCTATTGCCAGGCGGGGAATCACTCACGTTGCTGAACAGCGTGCCGTACTCGCCGGTGAAGTTCCTGGCGGCCAGGGCGTCGCACACCTCGTCCGTGTAGTTGAGGCTGACGCGGCACGCCTTCTCGAGGTTGAGGTTCTGCGTGGTGAGGCTGGACAGCAGGGCCGGCACGATGTAGAGCAGCGTGATGGGCTCCACCGTGATGTTGGCCACGATGTGCTTGCACTTCTGGCGCAGGTTCATGTCGGCGAAGGTGTAGGCGGGCTCCTCCAGCTGCAGCCGCGCCTCCTTGCCGCCCTTCTCCGCCATGGCGGCGTCGGCCTCCGCCTTCGCCATGGATCAGGGCCTGCAGCGCCTGCAAGGGGACAGAGCGGTCAGGCGGGGCGCGCCGTGAGTGCGAGAGAGACAGAGCCAGCCCGGTTTGCGGACGGCCGCCGGGCCAGGCTCCTTGAATGGGGCATTGCGGCGATTCCCGCTGACATCGTTACGCGCTTAGAGCTCCGCGGTGATGACCGCCGCCGTGGTCGCGTAATGCCGGGGATCAGAGTTACCAAAATTGAGGGGTCTTTATGTCTCGGGTCATCGCGTGCCGCCCGCGCCGCCCGCGCCGTCCGGCAGTGGCGCCAACATTCACTTTATCTTAATTCGCCCATTCTTGCCTCGGCCAATCTCGGCAGAGCGATGACGTCATTCCGTAGCGGCGAAGCCTGCGGCCACACTGTACCCACCGCGATCCTATCGGGTTCCCCGCTGATCCTTGAATCGCCGGCAGCAGACTGATCCCAAGCGTCGCTCTGTCTCCGTCGCTCCCCCACGCGATGCTCCACGAGTGCGAGAGAGACAGAGCGACGGAAACGACTCAGTCTGCATCTTGTTCCGACACCTCAGCCTCGTCATCGTCGCCACTTTGATGCCCAACCTACCGTGTGCCAGACTAGCGGTCCGCTTGGCAACGTCCCTGGCAACCCATACCACACCACACGTGGCGTGGGATCGAATACCGCACAGAGAAAATACTTTTTTTCCAGTGTGTGTGCGCTCCCTCGTCCTGGCGCACGTCACGGTCCCCCTTCCCCCGCAGTACGCGCCGCGGATTGACATTTAGCCCAGAAGTGGCTTTGCGCGCTGGTGCTTTTGCGGTCCGGTCCGCACTCTGTCATTTATTTCCTAAGCAGCATCGTCATTCTCTTGTGGTGCGCGCACCGCGGTGGGCTGCCGGAGGTCCGCACTACACTAATTACCCGGGACGATGGCAAGGAGAGGCCTCTAGAGAGGCTCTCGAGGGAATTCTAGAGAGACGTCTTCAGGTACTTGTAGAGAGGCACCTCTGGAGAGGCCCTGGCTCTGTACTCACCTCTCGAGATACTTAGGCAGCCAGCTTAGAGGAAATGCTCTGGCGCTGGAGATAACTGTGGAGAGACATCTCGAGACAGTTTTAGAGAGGCGTCTAGAGAGCCCTCTGGAGAGCACCCGGCAAGACGTGTAAACAAGATCCGAGGGGGCAACCACTCTAGAAATCTTGTGTCCCCTAAGCGCTAGAAATCTGTAAAAAATCTGAAATCTTGCTCCAAAAAAGGCCAAAACCAAGCTAATTTTGGGCGGAATATCGGTTATAAAATCTTGCGAAATGCGACGAAATCTTTCGCCTGAGGAAATCTTGTGTCCCCAAACATCCAATGTGGTTGCCCCCTCGACAAGCTCCCTGCCTGAATGAGAGGCTGGAGAGCGGCCAGACCGAATACCCTCGCCACGCTGGAATCCTGGAATGCGATCGGCATATCTGCAGGCTGCCGGCCGACTGCGGACTGCGGAGCGCCGCAACAAGTGTCGGGGCCGTCCTCCCATTCTTCCCAGGCGTGAGGCTGGCCGGTGTTAGCCTGGCTGTGCCAATGGGCCCCTCTCCGCTTTGCCGCTTCTGCTTTGCCTTGCTTTGCCTCCGGCCGAGGCGAGACGAGACGAGCGCGGAAATGGAGCGAAGGCAATCGGCGCCACGGCCTGCTCCTCGCGTAGCGTAGCGCTCTCACCGCAAGCCGCCACTTTGCCAGCAACATCGAAAATCACAAATCACAAATCACACCCATTCTTGATACAGAAAATTGCTCCAGGCCGAAGCAAGTCCTCTCCAAAGCAAGGTTCTCTCGTTCCTCGACAAAATAAAATGACAAGGGAGCCGAAAGCCCGGAAAATAAAACAACAGTTGTTTCCTCGGGTGCTCTTGCGGACTTTGCTCGTTCGCGGAAGAACCGTTGCGTGCGTGGGTGCGCCACTGCAGCGGGGGGCCGTACTTGGCGTGACAGGGCGGTGCGGAGAACGCACGCCACGCCACGCCACGCACGCGCCCACCACGCGACGCGCGACGACGACGCGAATCCGAAAGTGAAGCCGCCTCTACACTAGTCGGTCCCACTTTCGCGACTTGCCGATCCGATAATCACACTCGGCTGGAGCCTTGGCTGAAACCGCCACACGGATCGGCCGCCCCCCTCGCTCCCGCGGGCGTCCCGGACGCGTCCCGGACGCGTCCCTAAAGTCCGGTCCAGCAGGTTCCCGGCGCGCGCCGCGAGCAGGCCCGCAGACTGACTCCGAGAGTCGCCCGTCTCCCTCGCACTCACGGAGCGCTACTCATGGGTGCGAGAGAGACAGAGAGGCGACTCTCGGAGTCAGACTGCAGGAGCAGGCCCGGAGCAGCCCGGACCAGGCCGCGCCCGCCGTGACGCTGTTGCTGTGCCGCCGCGGCCGCTTCCGCACGCCGGCAGTCGTAACTGCCGTAACAAACACCGCCACACTGATTGACCTGACCCGCTGGTTTTGTTGTTTACTTGATGTCATTGTTGCCACTGTTCTTTTCGTCGCGCTGCACCGCGCCCCCGCGCTTATCGCGAAGAGGCGCCGGCATCACAGTGCCGTGGCCACGTGCGCGTACGCTCACTGCAGCAGCAGCTCTGAGAAAATAATTGGGTGTTCCCCCGGCCTGGCGGCGCCTGCGGCCAATCGTAAACTACATTGCTTCATCGCCAGGACGGGGACGCCACGCCGCCGCTCGCCTTGTCGTGTGGGGAGATCTAATTTGCCGCGGAGGATGGTCGTCGTGCGTGCCGCCGTGCCTTCCCGACGCGTGCTCGCAGGGAGCACACGGACCACGAAGGCCTCGGGGAAGTCCCAATTTGTGGTCCGCGCTGCTGCCCGGGAACCATTTCGCTCGCCTAACCTAACCTAAACTAAACGTCCCATATTCTGTCGGCCGGTGTGTACGTACCGCTAGCGCTCTTCCGGTGTTTGTGTTCGCCTGGTTATAATTATAGCAGGCGCCATAATCTCTTTTGCCAGGCGGCGCGCGCCGTGGCCGAGACAGACTCACCGCCTGGGCGGGCCGCTGTGCTGCTGCCGCCTAGAAGAGTCCCGAGGACTTGTCCACTGCCGCGGCTGCCGCGCGTCGCGTCTTCGGCTGGAAAGGACGCGAGGTGCCTCTGGGCTCTGGTTCCAGAGGGTCCTGTGGAAACTGTCACGCCGTCACTGCGCTGCCGGAGCTACGGCCTGCTGGACTCGGAGTGCCGTGACTGCCGCGGTCCCCGCCATGGCGCCGGCGCTGTGCTCGCGAACCGAACCGAACCACGCCGCGTTACCGCCTTACCGCGTACCCACACTGCAAGGGGCTCACGCCTTACTGTTGTGCCGGCGTACTGGCGTACCGGTGTCGGCTCGGTCTGCTGGGGTTCGCGTGGTGTCTCGGCCATGCCTTGGCGGCGGGGCGGGGCGGGGCGGGGCGGGGCCCGGCGCGGTCCAGGGAATGCGGGTCCCAGGGGAACCTGGCGGGAGCCCGGTCCAAGGACTCGGCGCAAGGACTAGGAAGACTCAACGGCGGCCGACTCAGCAAACGGCATTTGGTTGCTTCCGTTCACGGCCGCATCGCGTTGCTACAAATCTGCGGCACGACGAGGCAGCGCGGTCAATCAACTCGGTCATCGAACGCGCGGCATGCTTATTTTGAGAAACGTCCAGTTTTCACTTGGATTTGCCTTTTGGAAAAGAAGCTAATTGGATTTGAGGCCCCTGTGGAGTCTGCGGCGGAGAAAGACACTTCGGCGCGGAGTTTGAGTGTTCGCGCTCTGACCGACAAGGAGTACGTGCTGCTGGCCGGTAGATGGCGCGCGTGGAGCAGTCACTCAGAAAGACAAACTTGACAGCGACAAAAACACGACAGCTGGCAACTTCTGAAGGGTTTGAGATGTATGCACAGATTGGCAGGTTGAAAATTATATCTTGAATCAGGTTTATTGACCCACAAATATATCTGTCTGGTTGTAAGCGGCTAGTTCTATTCACCAATATCGTTAGAGTTTTGGCTGGCTTCCTGCTTCCTGACACTGGGGCTCCTAACCTTACTATTAGTGTGTTTTGTGGAAATCTTTATTCTTTCTTTGAGGTAACTTTTCTTTCATAGTTTCGTCATAAAGATAGATGTGTTGTCATGTATGAAGATGTCCATCAAGTGAAGAAATGTCGCTTGATTGTCACATTTATAATACCGTTTTGATATTTCAGAAGAGTCCTAAGGCCTCGTTTGCTTCTGCTTGCAGATGTCAACACCCCTGCAAATTTCTGGCCGTGCTTTGCACAGACACGTTCAAAATGCGCTGTGTCTACTCTCCAGACCAAACAGTTCGGCTGCTCCGACTGCCCCCTCATCCCCATCAAAGAAAGACAATACCCAACAGAATAACAACGCTCATATCAAGCCTGTCTTCCACAACAGAAATCCAAGGAACCTGGAGCTGTTAACGATTGCATCGAAACCAGAAGGCTATCATTTAGACTCTTTTGAAGTGTCCTACTGGCATAAGTAAGTAACTGTTTCTTTTATTTAATCATGAAGCCGATAGACGTGATTCTGTTCATTTTGTTCTTCTTTCGGGAACAGGCTGCTGGTCCGTCTGTCTTGGGGTAAAATTTCAGCTGAAGTAGTTCACAATAACGGCACAACTGTAGTAAGTGCATCATCAGGAGAGTTTGGAATTGAAAAGCTCCTGTACAGGTATGTAAAACTTTTAAAATGTATTGTTTGCAATGTACATAATATAATTTGAGTTTTGTTTTTGTATTTTAGAACAGCAGATTCGTCTGCATACAAAACAATTGGGAAAGTTATTGCCCGGAGATGCCTTGAAAGTGGTATTAGTACAGTTTTTTGTGATTATAAGCCTGAAGAAGGGACCAAGGTATTCAAAAAATGTTTCTATTTTCTTTTATATTCAGTTCTTGGGTTGTTTTATTATTAAAAATATAATTACATTTCAGATGGATTTGTTACTTAAAGAAGCACAGAATGGTGGCTTGTCATTAGAGGAGGCACCTGTCTATGTTCCTCCATTGCCTCAGACTAAAGGAGTACCGACAAAACCATGGGATATTATTTCATAATCTAATTTAATGTTTCTTGTTTTATCTTGTTTGTCCAATACATAGTTGCTTGGATGACATTGTTTTTGACACCTGATGTTGATGTTTTGAAGTCAAAGCAGTCATTAAATGTATTACCACCAAACTCAAGTTTTGATCATTTTCCTTCACTTTGTCACCATTGCCTTGAGTTGATGACGTAGCACCTTGCCTCCTGCATTTCTTGGAATTGCATCAATAAACTTAACTCCACCAGCAAGTTTCTTGTAAGGAGCTACTTTAGGTTCTACGAAAGATGTCACCTCATCTTCAGTCACCTTTGCACCTGGTTGAAGCACTGCGAATGCAATGGGTACTTCACCAAACCTTTCATGTGGAACTCCCACAACTGCAATATCTGCAATGCCAGGAATCTGACGAATAATACTCTCCAGCTCAGTGGGTGACACCTGAAACAAAGAAATGTCCATTAGCATTTATGGCAATAAATTTCTTTGACAGAAATTTGAGTTGAAGTAACAGAGGAAGAGAAACGGGACAGGTTTCAACAAGTCGCGGATGACGTGCTACACTGCGGTATTTTCGAAAATGGCGCCGTGGGTAGACGCTCAACACAAGATGGCGGTGGAAGATCTCCGACGCTGCCAACCACCGCAAGTTAATTTGGGTTTTCTTTCGTGGCTGTGTGAGCAAATCAGTGTTTCAAGATCGATAAAATTAGTTCAAAACACATTCAGAAATTGTTTTTCTTTCACTCATCGGTATCTGCACTGAGATAAAGCGAGCCACACGACTGACGCCTACCCAAGCCTGTTCATGACCGCCATGTTGGTGCTTCAAACCCACAGCGGCGGTGTGTTGATGTATCACATTCCGTGTTTGTGTGCCAAGTTTTGTGCGTTTTTCTGAGTCTGCTTCGCACCCCGCCGCTGCCAAAATGGATAATCCCGAAGAAGTGTTGCACAGTCTCGACGAATTCGCCAAACTCAAGCCCAAAAGTATTCCCCGCGAGCTGGAAGACTACTTGATGTACGTTGCGCGGACGGGTGACCCCGTGTACCAGTGGGCCACGGTCAAGATTCTTTTTCGGGAGAAGCTCCTCAATGTTATCACCGAGTTCTACGAGACGACGCCGACCCTGGACGTGGCGCCGTCGCCGAACGTGGACCCCTTCAACTACGAGACCATGAAGACAGTCCTGCTGGAGAGGCTAGAGGCCTTCTCCAACGCGCCCTTCACCGTGCAGAGGCTATGTGAGCTTTTGACAACTCCCAGGAAAGAGTACAACCGACCGGACAAGTTCATGAGGGCCATCGAAAAGAACATCCTCGTCGTCAGCACACGCGGGCCTGGGGGTGCTTGCAGGCCAGACAGCGCTCTCTCTGAACCCATCCCCAACGGAGTCTCCGAACCATCAGAAGCTGCGAGCAACCAGTCAAGCAGCAGCAACAGTGCAGCTAATAATGAAGAAACAAGTGAGGAGTCGTCTAGTGAAGCTTCACCTAAAGAAACAGAAGAAAATCATGTGGTAGCAGAATCAAATGCCGAATCAAGTGCTGGGTCAAGCACGGAATCAAGTGCCGAATCTAGCGCTGAATCGAGTACTGAATCAAGCACTGTTATGGAGTCAAACGATGTTGAGACTGATCAGGCGGAGTCAAGTGTTACTGTTAGTGAAGAAGCTATTAAAGATGAGGAGGCAGCTAGTGAAAGTGTTGTTAAGGAGAGTGATGAAAGCCCAGAAGCAACAGATTCAAGTGATAGTGTGACATATGGTGATGTAAACAGTGCTGGTGAGATACCAGAGGCAGTAAATGTAACTTCAACAGAGTGTGTTTCTAATGCTGAAGTTAAAGACATCCCAGAGCAGCCAGAAATATGTGAGGCTGAGACAAGTGCAGTTGAAAGTGTTCCTTTATCATCATCTTCCGAAGTAAGTAGCGTTGGCGATGAAGTACTAAAAGCAGACCCGGCTGAAGCACAATCGAAGGCAGATAAGGAAGATGCAGTGAGTGGAAGTAAGGAGGTCGAAAGTGTGTCTAGCGATACTCCTGCAAATGAAGATGAAGTTACTAGTGAAGCCACTTCTGAACCCTCAGTATCATCTGAAGACGTTTCACAAGTCACTGAAAGCACCCAAAGTATTTGTCCAAAAGAGGTGCCTTCAGACTCTGAACCGGATGTCAGCTCAGCGCAGCAAGACCAAGCTGCTGACTCGACAGCTTCAGATTCTGCCCAAGTGGCAGAAATCCCTACCTCGGAGGCAGTGTCTTCAAATTCCTCTGATGACTCATCGGAAGCAGTTGACTCTAAATTAAGTGAAGATGATCAACCAGACACTTCAAATGTTGTGGTTGATACACCAGCAGATGTTCTTAAAGGCTCAGAAGCGGCCCCCGTTGTAGAAAAAAGCGAAAGTGAGGTGAAAGAAAGTACAGAGGCTGCCAAGGCTGACGTGGACACAAACATCACCAGCACGGAGGGTGTTGCAGGACCTGAAGAAGCTATGGACGTAGATGAAAGTAGCAACCAGCCCTCTGAAGCTTCTGCTGGGGACAGTGAGGCAATGGAGGTGGCAGAAGATGAGGAGGCTATGGAGGTCTGTGAAGACAGTGCATTAGAAGCAATGACAACAAGTCCTGAAGAGGTAAGCTACATTTCAATTTTTACTTTTAAGTACGACCGTCCCAGGTTTAATCTCAATTTTGTCTCTTCTTTTTCAGACTGCTCAGTGATTAAACCCACCTTAAGAAGTTACCTCAACATTACATCTTAGGTCAAGAAACGAAGGAATCTTCCATACCATCTCGTTAAATTTAATAAGATTCCATTTTCAAACAGTTAGTAGCAATTCCTTTGCTTCTGTCCTTAGAACTTTCTTTGTGTAATGGAATGAATGTGTATATAGTGTGACATTTCATGTGTGTAATTTTAAAGTCTTTCTGTTGTATGATATGCTAAATGATAGTAATGTTAATATTTTCTGCATTGTTGCTTTGTTCATGTCACAGCAGTGTTAGTTCCATTCTGTCACATTGTGCCCTTACTGTGTATTAGACTCGTCATTTTCCACATATTGACAGAGTATTTTTTTCCTAAAACTGAAGACTTGAAGGATAACTTCATTATATTATTTCTTTTTATCATCACATTTGAATATTCCATGATATGGTTAGAATCCATCATCAAATTTGGTGCTTTTTTTTTTCTTTTTTTTTTAAATTGACCTGTGTCTATCTAGTTACGAGGGTAGTCTGACTATCTTGATATTCTTTTGCTTTTTTTACTGTTATTTGTCTAAAGATTTCTTTGTAGTTTAGTAAAATGGTTATGTTTGGTTGTTCCTTCAGCCCCTGAATGCTAAATTATTTATTCTGACAGCTCTTTGAAGTGCTTTCATTAAGTTGTACTCGTTTTCCTTTGTTTTAAATTTAAACTGGAAAATGTGCAGTCACTGAATTATGGTGATGTTGCATGTGGCTTAATGTCAGGTAGTTTCTGCTCAAGATCTTTTGTAAATTTTACTTATAGACTTGCTGACTGCATTATTACGTTATCCTGGGGAATTCTATCTAAAGCATATTGAGACAAATTTAATATATTATTTACGTAGGTGTGGATCATGTCATGTGATACAACTCTCTGCTGAGTGTGAATGAGTCTAATAAAATTATGATCTTCCAAGACCAGTTGAAACACTTTGACCACCCCATTGCCATCAAATTCCAACAGATAGGTAGTAATAACTTTTAATGGAGAGATGCTTATTTCAAAAATATCTTGTCTCAAGCTTGTGCCAGTGACACGCAACTCGCTTCTTCAATGAGATCAATTTACTGGATGACACTTGTTATCTTAAAGCTATGCCCTGTAAAGGCAACATGTAGAAAAATAATCCTTATGCTATTTGAATGTGCAAGCTAACATTATTCTGATCAAATGAAGGCAGGGAAGGGTAAGGACTGCCGAGGTTCGAGTCGGGAGTGCGGCGATGGGGACGTGGCGGAGGGAGGGTGGAGGGAAGGCCACGGTTGCGGCCCTTGGACTACCTGGTGGCCCTTGACTTTGATGAGCTCCTTGGTGCGGTCCACGATGTAGAAGTACTGGTCCTCGTCGTAGAAGGCCACGTCGCCCGTGTGCAGCCAGCCCTCGTCGTCCACCACCTCGCGGGTCGCCTCCGCGTTCTTGTAGTAGCCCTTCATCACCTGGGGGAAGAGAGAGGCAGAGTGTCAGGCGTCTCTCTTGCACTGCGAGGCGGCACGGGCCTTCCCTGCACACGTACCTGAGGGCCTTTGATGAGCAGCTCGCCGCGCTGGCCGGGCCCCAGGTCCTCCCCCGTCGCCAGGTCGGCGATGCGAGCGCGCGTGCCGGGCAGCAGCTGCCCCACGGAGCCCCGCTTGTCCAGCGGCGTGTGCCTGGAGCACAGCACGGTCACGGGGGCGGTCTCGGTCATGCCGTACCCTGGGGGGCAAGGAAGAGGATCGAACCGTGAATGTTTCCGGACGCTCCAGGCGAGCGGCGCAAGCGGCGCCCTACAGTGTGACGCACCTTGGCGCAGGTCCAGCTCGCGGCCCGCCTTGTCGTTGAGGCGCTTGATGACGTCCAGGCCGAGGGGCGCGGCGCCGCTCATGACGTAGCGCACGCTGGCCAGGTGGTCGGGCTTGACGGCGGGGTGCATGGACAGGAACTGCACGACGGCGGGCACCGCGGCCAGCCCCGTCGGCCGGTGGCGCAGCAGCGCGCCGATGTAGTCCTCCGCCGTGAACTTGGGCATGGAGATGAGGTGCTGGCCGCTGAGCATGCTGGTGTGCAGCACCGAGTTGAGGCCGTAGATGTGGAAGAAGGGGAGGATGCTGAGCAGCGTGTCCTGGACGTCACCTGCGGCAGAACCAGTCCGTCAGTCAGCAGCAGATGCCGCCGCGGAGGTAGGCAGCCCATCGTGCCCGCCAGGGCTTACCCTGGTGTAGAGCGCGAAGCGGAAATCGGGGTGCAAGTTCTGCTCCAGGTTGCTGACGAGCTGGCCGTGGGTGAGCATGACGCCCTTGGGCATGCCGGTGGTGCCCGACGAGAAGGGCAGGATGGCCACGTCCTCGGGCGCGTTGCGCGGCAGGCGCACGCCCTCCGTGGAGGCGCCCTCCGCGGCCAGGCACTGGAAGCTGAACTCGCCGGCGGGCTGCTCTGAGGGCTGGAGGACGGGGAGGTGAGTTTCAGGACAGTGTTCGTCGGGAAGCCCCATGCGTGCGAGAGAGACGGAGCACCGAAAGCTTACCTGCTGGTCGAGCAGTACGGTGCCCACGTACTGGGGCAGCTTCTGCGCCACGGCGCGCACCAGGGGCAGCAGGATGGGCACGGTGAGCACCAAGCGCGTGCCGCAGATGGCCAGCTGGCGGGCCGTCTCCTCTGCAAGCGAAGAGCGCCAAACGCCAAACAAATATTATGACGACGCGAGCTGACGACGCGGCCAAACTCCCGCAAACCGATGCCACTCCGTCTTTCTCTGCGGGACGCCCCAAGAGTGCGAGAGAGACAGCGCTTCAGAGACGGCCCTCGGAACCGGTCTGCAGACAAGGGCCGCAGTGAAAACTCACCCGGCGTGTACAGGGGGTTGACGAACGTGACGGTGAGCCCCGCCTCGATGGCGCCGTGCGCGGCCAGCACGAACTCGGGGGTGTTGGGGGCGACCACGGCCACCACGTCACCCTTGCACAGCCGCTGGCCCTTGGCATCCAGGCCGCCCAGGCCGCCGGCGAGGGCTCGCGCGAAGCCATGGGTCAGGCGGCGGGCCTCCCTGTAGGTGTAGGAGCTGCCGGACACGGCGCACGTCTGGAACAGGAGGAGCAAGGCCTTGAGCAGCAGTCGAGGGCTTACGTTGTCTTATCAGGTGTGCAGCAGCGTGCAGGTGGTAGGACACATAAACAACGCACGGTGTGCGGTGGACCGTCCCTCATTACAGCACGGCGCCGAGGAGTCGGAAAAGTTTTTGGATTTCGACAACGCCCACAAGCCCACGCCCGCCAGGCGTACTCGGTCACTACTTCTTCTAAGACGCTCGGTTCAGTGTTTGCCCCAATCGCAGGGAATCCCTAACCTGCCTCTGGATCCAGCTGGATCTTGGACAGCCCCGCGCGAAACGAAAAAACAAACAACAAAAACAACTCCCGGTGGAAGTCGAACCCGCGCCCGTTTGGCCCTCGGGTCCGAGTCCTTCGCACCCCGCCGTTATCACCGTAGCGTAGAGTTATTGAGTTCGCCGTTCCAAAGGTCCCCGCCCCCGCGCTCCCCGAGTCTGCGTTCTGCGTCCCGTGGTCCCGGCCCTCCCACTCGTCGTTTTGTACAGGACTGTACATTTGCACTGGGCATTTGGCGAGGGCTTCTGCATTGTCTCGCCGGGCCGCTCCGAGTACGCGGAAGGAAATCCCCCCGCCCCGCCCCTCTCCTTCCCCGTCACCCCCGGCCCGGCCAGGCCCGGCCGGCCGGCCCGCCAAAGCCGATAAAATGGTCAAAGGCGTGTCTGGAGATAGCCGGCGGGGCACCGCTGCGGTATGCGTTCGCTGCGTTCAGCAAACACGCCAAAAGACCGGCGGTGCGTGTCTTTCGTCCAGTGGCCCACCCCACAGCCCAGTAGTAGTGAACAGTGGGGAGGAACTCGCGGCGTTTGGACTGCCCGAGGGAAGGAAGTGAACGAAGTGAACAGTGGCTCCTCCAGTGAAAGACCCCGGAAGAGGCGTTTGGAAGGGGGGGAGGGGGCGGGCGTCGGTCCGTGGCGACCTGTTGAGGGAGGCAAAGCATGGTGTGGACGATCGGACTGGGTGTTTTGCGCGACGGCGATGTCATTGTCTAGGTCAGGGCCGAACCGAGCTGGGCCGCGTGGGGCCGTGGGGCTCGGACCGAAACCGAACTGAACCTCGGCCCCGGGTCTGGGTCCAACTGGTCCAACTTGTCCAAGGCCGTCACCAAGGCCGTGACGAGGGTCGTGGCCGCCAGACTGCGGACAACAACCCGCTCGCGGCGGACGGGACGGGTTGCACGTTGCACCCGCTCTGCTGCACTGCTCTCCGTGATCGTGGCCGTGACCAAGCCCCACAGCCCTACAGTCACGCGTCTCCGACCTCTGGACTGGTCAGGCCATGATTATAAACGAGCGGGCGTGGGGCGGAGGCGGATCCCTCAAGTACCTCTTGGCTTTGGTAGAAAACATAGAAAACGAGTGAACAGGCAACGCGTGCGCCAGAGCCTAGTACTCTACCTCTTTTTTGGAGGGAAAGGGGGACGGGGTTGTTTGTGGCACGGCTATGCAAAACCGTGGGAGCGCGGATAAATGTCCAAATGAAGAAATATTGTGAAAATTTTCACATTGCAGTATGTTCCAATGCGATAGGGGTGGAGGTGAGCGACGAAACTGCGTGACAGCGGGTTGTCGCGGCTTGATGCACGCCCAGTACCTCTCGGCCGTGACACTGACCAAAACACTCTCGCCCCGCCGGGGCCAAGGACCTCTCCTCGCGGCGCCGCAGCGTGGCGGGGCAGCCGGGACTGGCGGGTCGCAGGACTGGCGGCGTGATTTGAATTGACCGGGGTGCCGCCGGCTAGCCGGGCCGAAGCGCAGACTGCGCGGACTCCAACTGCAAAACAGGGCGTGGGCGTTCCCTACGCGGTGCGGGGCGCGAGGGGCGCGCGGCACCGAGACACTCACCAGGAACTTCTTGTCGTCCCAGACGCACGAGTCCTTCCACAGGTGCTCGATGAGGGTGTCGTGCGACGCGGCCAGGTCCTTGCCGTACAGTGACTCGACGACGAGGCTCTGCCCCGAGGTGCTGGTGGTCCTGGTGGACGCCGCGGGGCTCGGGCCGCTGCTGAGGCACCGCGACGACGAGGACGCGGACGCCGCGGACAGGGCGGCGAGGCGCCGGTGCAGGCCCAGGACGCGGGACGACAGCTGTCGCATCGTGCTGCGGGGTCTAGATGGTCTAGATCGGGGAAGCCAACTGGACTCTGAGAGGCCTGGCACTGGAGCTGGATGGCCGCCGGCTTCTCGCTCGGACTACAGTACCACAGTACAGTACGCAGCGCTAGCGCTCGCGGACGCGGACTGACAGCGACAGCACAGCGACGCGAGTGCAATTGCGGTGTTGTCGCGGCGTGGTGCGATGCCGGTGCCGGTTCGGCTTCACTCGGACTCTACCCTGCTGACTCGGCAAAGCCCGGCGAGGGACTACGACACTGCCAAGCCCAAGCCCCCAAGCCCCAGGAGTGGAGGCAGGGCAAGAAGAAGTGCTTTGGAGACGGCCCGGCGGGCCCGGGACTGCCCGTGCCCGCCCGCGCCGCGCCCCGCGCCCCAGGATCTGGCAGCAGGGGGAGGGGGGTCTGGCCACCGGGACTGTCGGGGCTTTACGGCTGTACACACCAGGTCCTGGTTTCACTGGTGCCCTGGCGGCCCTGGCGCACATCTCTCACCAGCAGACAGGCAGGCCCTCCCCTACCCCTTTCCTCTCACCGATAGCTATGTGGCTGCGTGACGGTCCCCATGAAGTTGCGTATGGTGCCTTATGAACCCTCAGCACAGGTCAAATGGTCAAATCCGAAGGGAAATTCCGTGTGAAAAATCGGGAGAGGTACTGAAAATTATTTTTCAGGGTGAAAATAAAAATAACTTTGTACTTAAATACCAAACTTTATTTGCAATGTAACGGAACACAGTATACCAGTACTTGTAAGATTTGCATTACGTTGAGTGTGGTTGGGAGAAACTAACAGACAGTCGATAAAGGCATTTTGTTAAACCCAGACAACGCAAAGAGTACATTATGCATGTAGATATGACTATTCTCATAAAAATGAATGCTTTCAAAAATTATATCACAGGTAGACATCATGAACACATGAATAAAAGGATAAACTATTCATTTTTAGAGGTGCTGGATCCTATATTACACAGAAACATTTTATGACTCTTTAAAACTAAAATTACTAACAAATTTGTTTATCAAATTTGCACTGCTCAGTTGTTTTAAAATTACATTTTTACATTTCAGTCCTGCTTTCGTACAGAAATTTGCATTGCTCAGTTGTTTTATAATTACATTTTTACATTTCAGTCCCGCTTTCGTGCAGCCCACTACAATAACAGGCACTTATTATTTATTTATCAATTTTATTGACTATCAAATCAGAAGCGTGCCTCAATAAGTTTAGTGAAATAAACAAGAACATGGCATGGGGGACTTCCTCAGAATGGTAGTAGAGATGTTACAACCAAAAAGTCATTTGTTCTCAGAACCAAACAAGCAAACAAAAAGAAAAAACAAAAAAAAAAACAAAAAAAAACAAGTTAACTGCCACATAGAAAGTTACATTTAAATGCTTTCCTACAATCATGTAGTCAGGAAGTCCTTAAACTTAATCAACTCTTACACCAAAAGCTTTTGCTATCTAGATACACAACAGACTTGTCAAAAAAGGGTTAAGATATAAGATAACAAGCACCTAAGCGGTCCAATTGAAAAGTATGTAAAGGAATTCCAATTATTTTCAACAATATAAAAATGAAAATGATACAATGTACTCTGGAACTTCAACATGAAAAGAAAGGAAAGCAACAAGTGGAGATTCCACATTGCTCTTAGTCAGCTTTGTGCCCTAAATATGAAGTTTTATGTCAAAAGATACTTGTTTATAAGGAGCTGGAATGAACTTATGAATTAGCCAAATAAACAACGCCATTAATTTTTTTCTTTTTTTTTCTGCCTGGGTGGAGTAGTTTGTTAAGTCTCAGGGATCAACAAAGAACTGCAAGATTCCGCAACACACCATGTGTCAAAGGACACTGAATGTGTTCTTGCAGAACAGACAGGGTCTGCAAATGGGCCTGCTTACCTCAGGCTCTCCACTTTCTGCAGGGTAGGTTCAAGTACCACATCTGCTCTCGTGTTCCATCAATGAGGGTTACTGCAACATGCCACATCATAGGAGGTCTGTACATTTGTCCAAAAGCCATGTACTCCCCACGTCATATGATGGGCCGTGCAACCCAGAGGAGGATCACAACAGATTTTATTTTTGGCACAACATTCACCTTTTCTCCAATAAACACCATTAGCAAATGTTCCTGCTCAAGACACCTGTCAATATACCCTGGACCACCCAGGAGATCTTAAAACATTAGAATGAAAGATTACAAGACCAAGTGTCTGAGAGCACAAAGACTGACCAAGAGAAATGGCATTTGAAAATTCCAAGCCTTTTTTTAAACACATTATCTAAACTTTAAGAGCAAATATTTTTACAACATTGTATCACTTTACATTTGATTAAAGAAACTCCAATTTACTATACAGTTGAAACATTGCAGTAAACTTGTGCCAGAGGGTTTAAGAAAGAACCCTTAACATACACAATAAGTCTATTTAAATAAATGGATATTAAGAATTATGATACATTAACACAGAGATTGTGCTCTTGTGTACACAAAACAGATTCTCTGAAGCAAAAGATAAAATCAATTGGAAACACAATTCAGTAAAAAGGATCTTTCCTTTCAAGTTACTACAAAATGAAATACATATACACACAATTTGTGATTCGTCTAGGGGGACTAAATGGACAGGGCGAGTGTAAAGAGTCTATCTCATAACATTAGACCTCAACCCAATACAATGTACATTGTTTAAGTGCACATTTGTCAAAAAGTTTCCCCAACAAACAGCACTGAAGATTTCTCTATTCTAAATGAAGAAAGTTGCTTATAGACAAAAGTTGATGTGACACTAGGCCAGTTTACAAACGCAAAGGACACAATAGTAATAGTTCTAAAAAAAAATAGCAGACACAGGTCTTAACTATTGTACAGCAGATAACCTTCACGTAACATAATAAGAATTGATTGAACATATGATTGGCCTGAAACTATCCTACTGTAGGCTTAATTTGCAGACATTATCTGAAATTTCACACCTTATACATTCTAACACACACACACACACATTCACACACATTAACCCCACCCAAAAGAATGACACATTCTCACACACATACACACACAGAATCTAAACATTGCAGATAAATTACAAATACATGCTTTAAAAAAAAAAATGTTTGAGAGAAAGACAGACAGAGAACAGAGGAAGGAAACAGAAAGGAATGCAAAACAGCATGGAGCAGGGGGGAAAGAAAAAGGAAAGCAGGAAGGAGAGAAGTAAACCAAAGTAACATTAATAAAAATACGCCCCCCCCCAAAAAAAAAAAAAGAAAAAAAGAAAGAAGACATGCAGTTTGGTGCGGAGTCACAATTAAGTTAAGAATGAAATAACATTTTTCTGTCCAGCTTTAAAAAATACAATTTCCACTGAGATTTGTTCCCACTTGATACATTGACAGTTAAATACCAAATTTAAATAGGAGCACAACTTGTTTGAGCTCACTTTTACAAATGTCTACACTGCCACGGTAATTAAGACAAATAGTGTTAGTGAAAGAAAGAAAGAAAAAAAAAAACTGACCCGTATAAAAGGAGTGACAGAGTTGTGCACAAACATCATCTGATTCATTAAATCATACAATTTAGAAAAAGCACGGAATGTCAAATTAGATACAGATCTGGCAATTTTAACATCAATTTTTAAAAAATAATAAAATTGTGACAAAAGCTTTAGGTTGCTTGTCAACAAAAATCACATATGATTCATACCACCAACTGTCAGAACAAGAGAGGGGTACAACTAATTTTTGAGCACTAAAAGGATCAGATGTGCTGCTTGAAGCAGATACTATTAACTATTTAGTAAGGTAATGAAATACATGTACTGCAAATAAAAATCACGGACATATCAATAACTTAACATAGCAAGACTCCACACACGCAAGATATCATCATTACAGTACGGGGTTTACAGACGTGTATCAATACTACAGTTGTCAAAAGGTTCTCCAATAAGGACGAAAAATTATGAGCCCAAATGAATTAACAACTATGAAAGGAACTGTAGGCAATCAAAAATGTTATTGCATTTCTAACAAAATTGGATGCAAGAGCAACTGAAATTTTCACTTCATTTGCTTGGAAAGTTTGCTAAGTTCATTAAAAAAATAATTTAAGAAATGTTGGAAATTTATTTTATTTCTAGATGGCTTCTGGATTTTACCTCAACAAAGATAATAATTTAAATGATTTATAATAATTTGTAACCTTAACCTGTTTACATAAAACTGATGCTATGTAAAGCTCATCAAAATTAAATGATACACATCTAACAAAAGTTAACAATTGTATAGTATTTGTGTCATCCACTTTACTCAGCGGACAAATGCCTCATTTGGTATTGTTCCCTGCTTTTGAAGGAGCTGGAAGGCATGCAATGCATGCTCTACATTCCAACTATTTTGCTTGAGGCACCTAAAAACAAAGATTTTAAGACATTATAATATATGGTGAAAATAAAAGCACTTGCCACATAGATTGTCCTTAATAAAAGCATATCCTTACTCTTCAGAATAGAATAGGTTCATCCCTGAAACATTTGACACGTGTTCCACCATTTGAAGCTTTGCAAGGTCCTGGCCTGGGGCCCCTACCGAAGGAGACACAGGGACGGGCATAAGTGGCACCACAGGAGCTGGCACAGCTGGCACAGGTGCTACTGGGGCAAGACTTGTCTTGAAAGCCGCCTGTAAATTGAAATTTATTTTTTTTTGTTTAATGTGGCGTATTTAATTTAAAGCAGACAATTGCATTTGAAATTTGCTTACATCAGCCTGAGCACTTGTAGCATTGGTGATGTTTATTGTTTCATTCACAATACAGAAGCCTTGGCCTTGAGGTACAATTACAATACTTCGGCTGAAGGCTCTCACTGGCATGTTGGAAGAGGCTCCAGTTTCTCGGAAGACCCCACACAAGCAGAGCTGTATTAACTGGGGCTGTAAACAAACAAAATTGGTAAAAATATTGAATGGGCTTTATATGCAACTGAGTAGTGAAGGAAAACTAGAAGATAAAGCCATTCGCAATATAAACCTTTTTCACTTACAGTATACAGAAGAAGGTCTACCGCAAAGGAATGAGGGTCATGTTGGCTACTCGGAAGGCTACATAAAAATTTCATAATTTCCGCGTGGCCGCTCATTAGATAACGCAGTCGCCGGTCAGAATCTGTCACTCTTTTCAGGTTTCGATTGTTGGTCTGGTATGCATTTAACCTAGGAGAAACACCAACAAATTTAGAAGAGAAGTGCTTTACTGTACCATATTACATTTTGACTAGAAAAACCCTAAACAACTTACATGGCCTTGTCTCTGGGTCCTGAATTTCGGTTTTGACTGTTGATATGACAGGACATAGAAAGCATGGCACTCTCATGATAGGCGTCTCTCAGAGGCTCCCTGTTCGGACTATCATAAATTGCATAAAACTGTTCAAGAAACTGGCGAGCAATGTCTTTGCCCTGCTCTGCACACATATAACTCCCTTTTGATGGGGGCAACTGTGCAGTTTCTTCATCAAATAAAATAGGTGGAGGTAAGACAACTTCATCCTATGAAAGCAGAGATAGTTATTAAACATTGCCATGTGTTTAGACAAATAGTTTAGAATTAAGAATAGAAACACAAGTTAATACTTTACCAATTTGAGAAGTTTACGGAGCCTCTTTCTGACATCAGTAACATAAGCCCCTTGCTCTGTATACCTAGCACAAAGTGGATTTGATGTTATTAATAATTCTTCCACTGCAAGACCCTTCAATGGATCAAGTTTGGTTACGTCTTCCATCTGTATAAAAACACAACATTAACTGTGGGAAATAAACAACAGATAATAATGGCCACAGAAAACAAGGGAAGAAGATTATAACCTGATTGTTTGCCAAATGAAGAATCCGTAGGTGAGAAAGTTTGGATACTAGGGATTTAACACCTTCTAGAGAATAAATACTATTGTGTGATAGATCAATGGCATGTAGTGTTGGACAGTGCTCTACAACTAGTGAAAGTACAGCTGACAACACAGATTCTTGATTCAGAGGGACAAATCTTTCATGTAGGTCTGCAAGAAAGAAAGAAATAAATAAAATTACAGCTCATCAAGCATCATCTCCTCATTTTTGTTTCACTACAAGGCAAGAAGCAATATGAAGACAATGAAATGACCTGGGTCTGCATGAAACCTTGATAGATCGAGAGACCTGACATCTGGTCTAAACCTCCTCGCCATAACAACTTTAAGAACTTCTTTCAAGGCATCATCAACTTTAATTGGATGGTTAAACCCTTTCACCAAGATGTTAAGCTGCAAGAGAAAAAACAGCATTAAGGGAAAGACCTGATTGAAAATGATGGCCAGAATAATGATTCCAAACAATTATTTGAGAAAATTACCTTATGTCCGTCATCTGTAGAAATTCGACGATAAAGATTCTTCAGTTTGGTTGCAACTTGATGATCATCAACATAAAAAATGACATCTCTGCCCGGTGCTTCATACTAGAAGAGAGGAATCACTCATATGTATACATAGAAATGTTAGTAAGATTGATTAATTCAGTAGTGCAGCTCTCAAAAGACAAAGTCCGTACTCCATATGGTGTGAAGGTAGCAGGTGCAATATTGGCGATCAGGCTGTCCACAATCCATTTCTTTTCATATTTGGCTCCAAATGGAATCTGGGTTTTAAAAAAAAGGTTCTAGTTTAATACAGATATTTTAGGTAGGGAAACAACTGTCTTACTCTCCTGCTTCATACTGAATTGAATAAATGAAAAAGAAATGCACTCAGAATGCAGTGATGCATCAGAGGGACTACATTCTCTTGGTGATGAGTAGTCTGTCACACAAACAACTGCTACATATACATGATATCAGAGATATTGTTTGGAAAAAGACCTTTTCTGCTTCTACTTTGGAAGCAGCAGGTCGCCCTCAAAATTGTCAACCATGGGCCATAAATTTTAATGTAATTTTCAATTCATAAAAAAGGATGTTTAGATGAAATAGAGCTATAAAAAGACCAACAGCTTTACATCTTACTATAGGCAGTAAGATGAAATAAATGTTCTTTTGTCTTTCACTTACAAGGATCCTGTACCAAAATGTATTGCTTTTTGGAAGTGGCTGAAAAGTACGGTTTGGAGCAGGGGAACTTTGGCGGCCTCTACGACCAAAACCTCTTTTTCCCATTCTTCGTCTTCCATCAGGTGCATTACTGAAACTAATGAAACAATCAATGCAATATTAAATCAAATAAAATGAAGATCCACAGGATGGATAGCTAACTAAAATTTTACAATCCATGATGCAGAAACATCTTTTACATCAACTTAATCTGAAAAAGGAAACAAAAGAAATGCCCTTTCTAACAAAATAAAAATATAAAACCACAAACGAAGTCATTTTGATACTTGTTATAAAATGTCAAAAGGTTGACAAATCCTTAATTGTGAAAGATTGAGTTTGATGAAATCTTAAATCAAAAACAACTAGTATAAAATGTACTAGTACTTAGGACATGTCAAATGTTCACTTACTTTTTTTCTCGTCCACTTCCACCCATATCAACATCAGTATCATACTGCAAGTGGTTGCGTATGGATTTATGATATTTGAGGCTGTTCCTGCCTACTCCTGTGTATGCACGGACAACACCAACGCCACCTCCAACGCTGCTACCACTGGGGTTTCCACGGGTTGACTTGAAGCTCACAGTGCGACGGACCTCTTCCCCACGATTGTCATGTTCTATACAGAAAGCACTTGCAAACAGTGGAGTATAGGAAAAGAAACAGCTTAATAATAGTCTTTTTGAAGATATGTTGTGTTGTGGTGCTAGCAGATATTCTAGCAAACATTAAATCTGTTTCAAACAGAAGGGATTGTAGCTGTTGTTACCTTGGTTGAACCAATTGAAACATGAGTGAGTAGACATAGTGACCTCAAATCAGACAAGAAGTGGAATTGCGAAAAAGTGTAAGAATCTGAAGTACAGTGACCAACTCTTTGGAGTTACAGCTAAATATCAAGTAGTTATCAATCATTGTAGCTGATCCTAACCTTGAAATCGAGCTGAACGCACTTGTTCAAATTCGTACACAACCCAAAATTGCCTGCTGTTGAAGCACTAGTTTTATCTCACAGAAAAATATTGAAATAAGCCACAAAAAGAGTTGCCCCAAGAGGCGAAAAAGGACTCTTTTGAGTGTAACAGATGCACCCATGCTGTGACGGGATTGTTTTGGAAAGTGCGTTGCGACACAAGCAACGCTTCATCGCCCCAGTGTCTATCCTGTCCCAACGTACCAAAGTAAGTTTTGTTGAAGTTCCTTCCCATTCCACCGCGTTTCGGCATTTTCAAAGAATAAAGTCGCACTCCCGGAACCTAATCTCTAGGTATTAAGGACCAAAAACCCGTCACTGCTGAGATGCGATACGTTGTTCTTGTTCTGTTTCTGTTCACGGACACGGATGGAATCGTAACTTCCCCCCTCCACATCGTAACTTCCCCCTCCACCGAAAAGTAACTTCCTCCCCTCTCATGAGAAATTGGTCGGCCACAACTTTGATTATTTACGCTTACGCTGTGAGGCAGACACACTACAGATTGAAAAGTCCAAAAACGTGATAAAAGATGGGATCTACTGCCGCTCACAAGTTTATTTTTATCGTTGGAATCGCGTCTTTGCTACACGCCGCGTACTCGGCTGCTCAACGTAAGTTTACTCTCTGTTTTCTGCTCTATCAACCATTTCTAGGAGTCATAACCTCTACCAATTCGAGTGTTTTATTCGTCTGCTCTTGTGTACCAACCGATCCTTAACGTTGTTTCGTTGTCTTTGCTTAGACCGAGCTTACCTGCGCATTACGGAACAAGAATTTCTTAGTTTACCCATTGATGTAAGTATGCCTCACTTTTACTCCTCTTAATTTCTGAGTGGCATATCATTACGTCCGTTCTCATTGCCTCTTCACTCTCATTCTTCCAGATACTTATTCAAGGTATTGTCAGCCTTTTTGTAACCATGTATGGAATAATGACTTTGGCCGGTGAGTTCAAAGAAATCAGATCAACTGTCGATCTTGAATCAAAATCATGGGAAACTTTCAGGAACTGTCCCTCATTTTATACTTTCAACCATCGAGGGAGGGCTTTGTCCCCTTACTATGAACCACCACAAGACTAGGTTGTAAATTTAGACATTCCATTGAGGAAAGTGTTAACATTGTTACCAGCCTTCTCCTTTTTAAAAATTTCCTCTTGTCTATTGTATGATTGTGCATGTGTGTGTGTGTTAAAGATGCTATCTAATAATTTATATTGCGTTTCTCTGTAAGTCTATCATTATCATTTTTAAACTTTGTTTGTATAATAAAGTGTGTTTTGATACGGGGGATAAAAATGAAAATACATTTCATTGTTTTCTATATTTTGTGTATAACAAATATATTACCCAGAACAACACAAGTCAACTTAACTAAAACGCAGAAGCTACAAAAAGTTGAAATATATACAAATCTAACTGTCAGGTACATGGGAATAGTGATGCAAAAGAATATTTGGAATAACTGAGGTCATAAATTCCATTTACAACATCTGTTGACTCAACAAAGATGCCAATAGCATTAAGATAAACTTGAGATGCAGCAGGAGGCAGAAAGAACGCTACGGTAAGCCTAGTCACAGTAAAATCACCATGAAATGCAGTCACTGGCATGAAATAGCCACCACATTCCGCAAAATAAGGTTCCTAGCATTTAAAGAGATCAGCACCGAGCTCTTCACTATTTTGTTCAATGAATATTTCATGACAATAACTTCAAAATGATATTAGTGTGACTTTTTGACATACCTCGGATACTTTAATCAAGATATTTTCTTACAATAGAAATACATTTTAATGAGTGAATAAAGTCATATAAATAAATAGGCAATATAAAAACATTTTGAACCAAAGTCTAAAATCATCAATTTGCATCATTTTGATGGATGTAATACTACAGGATTGGACCTCAATTGATGACGAGTACAGTATCTCTTACAATAGCATTCAAACCAACAGTCATTCAATATTCAATCTCCTGTAGGTAACAAAATTCATTAGGAAGAGTCTGCACTGAGCTGGGGTACATTCTAGGAAAACCAGCAAAGCAGAATTTATAGATTCACACTTGTGGAGATTCCCTACTTCAATTTTCAAGAACTCTGGTACTTTGTGCCCAGACATAATGTGCACTTGTTAACAGCAGCAAAAATGCATTACTTCTTTCAAATAATAAAATATATGGCTGGCTTGCTGTTTGAACATTAAGGTAAGATACACTAGAAAACAATTTTTTGCAAATATTATCATGGGATGGTTACCATTTCATCATTCTCTATCCTTTTTAAATAAGAGTGGCATTTGGCTTTGTTTTGGCACGTAAGTAACCAGAATGACCAGTAAACTTCACACTTCAAAGAGTGTCTCAGCATTCAAAACAATAAAGTGCTGTATTGAACTGTACTTGTAAATACAATTATTTATTTTTTGGCTCCATACTTCAATAAGAAAGGCTACAAGTCAAAACTTGTCTTAAAGAGAAGTCTTCAGTTTGAAGAGTTTGTACATACAGTAGAGAATCTCCTTACAAACCTTAAAATTTACACACATTTTGTTATACAGTAGATGGAAGTCTCTATGTCCTGCAATGAGGCGTTACGTCTAATTATCACAGAAAACAGCCCACAGCCCCCATGAGCTTGATAGTACCTTATGATTAAAACACTGGTTTTCTTAATCTTTTGTTATCTTATCTTATTTTCATGAAAAAGTGATGTTATGCAAAATGAACAAACAAATAATTATTAAAATGGAACAACTACACAGTATCCAGAATTTCTAAGGCTGAACTAATTTTTTAATATCTACCCCGACACATGTGATTGGAGCAAATCTTAGCATTCATGTGTAAACCAGTTACACATTTTCCTATCTTAAAAGAAGGGGGGAAAAAAGAATGAAAATGTTGTTGGAAAATGGTGATCTTTGATGAAGACAGGTGAAGGAACTTTATGCTCTTAAAAATAAGGGTCAGATGACATTGAAGCACAATACTATCACTACACTAAATGACAATAGTACGCATGTCAATGTAAATACTATTAAATCATAAAGGAATGATTTAGAGGTCAAATGATTGAAAAACGAAATGTTACAAAATTTCTCTTTAAATGAACCAGTTATGAATAAGGAGAACATATGTTCATGTGCCTTTGGCCATTTCTGAATGTGAACTACACACATCTATCGGTAGTAGTTTCATTTTTCTCACATGATTTGTACCATAATAAATAATAAACAGATAAAAACTTACATATGAACATATACAAGGACATATTTTCTTTTGGGATGGCACCACAGTTCACAACGTTCAGTACTTTAACCCACATAAATGAAATGAGATAAAGGCCTCACATAACTACTTCGTTCCAGTCTTGCAAATGTAAATCAAACAAAAACCGTTTCTCAGGCATAGAAACTTGTATCACTTGTCTGTTTATGTGATGCAACTATTTTCTGGTAGAGGTAATAACTCCTTTTGTCTAAGCTAAGAGAGTATATCAGTCTTCATTAAATGACTTTGGTAAGCTTTAAAGAGGCAGAACTAAACCCAGAGTTGTGCTGGTAGGCTGACTTCATCGCCTCACTCTAGTGTTATAAAATAATCCCATTTAAAAATAAAAATCATTGAGCAGAATGCAATAAATTATAGAGGTGATGTTTCATAATCTGCATCACTTTCACCCAAGCAAATGGGTGCAGTTGTACTTGACGGTATACAGGAGGGTATGCAAGATGGTGCAGCCTTCACAGGCCAGCAACTGTGAGAGCTAGGAAGAGGCGGAGATCCCGCCTCATCACATCGTCAGAGAATTGACACAACTTCTGTGTCGTGGCTGCAGTAATCATCTGGGTGCTCTGGAGAAGCTCGTAAAGGAGATTGTTGCATAGTAACAAATTTGCTCAAACCCATGCCTGCTGTAGATGACCTTGGTGTGCCTAGCAATGGCTCGGTGGGACACACACTTGAATCCAACAACGTTGTTTGAGTGTTGTCCTGTAAATACAAAGGATAAATTTATCAGCAAACAACATTCTATTGTTGTGACAACATTAGAAAGACTGTGCTTTACCTGAGAATGAGAAGAATCTGCGTTGACTGACTGAGACCGTCCCATATTTCGATTCAAAAAGTTAAGGGGTACTGAACATTTCCGGAGACGTTCTGGCAGAGAAATTTCAAACTGCCCCGTGTCTTCGATTTGAACTGATGAAAGAGGAACGTCCAAGCATGGAGAGAGCAGACGAGGATTGTTAGCTAAAAACTCAACTATTTCTGATGCTTGTGGCCTTTTTTTGTAATCAGAATTCCAACATGATTTAATAAGGCTTTCGCTAAAAAGAAAAACAGACGGAAAAAAATGTTTTAAAAGAAGACAACAAGGACGAGCAAAAGTGCAATGATGAATAACTAACTCACAGTTGGGCCTTGACTCCACTAGGAATTGTTATAGTGTTTCCGGCCTTGACAAAGTCCAAGACTTGAATATTGCTGTAGCCTTGGAATGGGAAGCTTCCAAAAGTGACTATTTCATATAATAGAACACCATATGCCCAAACATCTGACGCAGGAGTGAAAACTCCCAAAGCCAGGCTTTCGGGTGACATCCATCTAACAGGCAACATTCCTTTTCGAAAGAGAGCAGTGATAAGAATAAGGCACAAAGAAGTACAATAATTTATTTTGAAGTGAAGTACCTCTCCTGTTAAATTTGTAGTAGTCATTTTCAAACATTGGTCGAGTCAAGCCAAAATCACCCAGTTTGACAACGCGAGACACATTTACAAGACAGTTTCTGGATGCCACATCACTGAAATTAGAATCACAGTTTATTGTAGGTATGTGGTATAAAGTTTCAAAAGGTCATTTATATTCAAGTCTGTACCAACCGATGAACATATTTTAGCTCAGCCAAATAACTGAGGGCACGGGCAACATCCATTGCCATTGAAGTGAGACGCTTGTTAGACACCTCATCTGATTCTTCAGAAACCTTATCATATACCAAATGTCGACGACCAAGAAGGTATGTTTTTAAATCACCTGTGGAACATAATATTGTATAGCAAAACATTGATACTTCAGGGTCAACACCAAGAAAGCAGTGACTCACCATACAGCATAAATTCCATCACTGTGTAAACTGGCTCATTTTTTGTACAAACTCCTATTAGTTTTACAATATTCTTGTGGTCAAGGCGTTTCATTACCTCTGCCTCACTTAAAAAGTCAAGCTTTTCTTCCATTGAGGAACCGATTTTTAAAGTTTTCACTGCAACTGCCACCTGCCATTCAACAAAATCACATTTTAAATTATTTTCAAACAATGGTGAAAAGAGGAAATTAGGAAAAAAAGAAAGAAACTTACCCATCCTTTGTCATCAATTTTTGTTTCTCCTCCATAAACCGTACCAAAAGCTCCCTCTCCCAATTTTCGATTAACAACAACAAACTCCCTTGGAATTTCCCACTTATCCAGACATGATATGTTTGATGGTAGAAGATCAATACCAAGAGAAGCCATGATCTTCTGTGTCATTTGCACTTTTTGGTCATATCTGAATTATAAGAAAATTCAGATTAATAAAAGTATGTAAAAGAAAACCAACAGAAATTGAAAAAGTTTTCGTCTTCTTCTTTACCTTCTTTTTACAATGATGAATGCAACAAGCAAGAGTGCGCCCAAGAGCCCAAATCCGGTTATATTTGCAATGACAATGGCAATTTCACAGCTAACATTTAATGCATATGCTAATCCAGCAAGTACACATTGTGGGGAGGCTTCTTTTCCATCCCATGGGACTGAGCCATCCGGTGTCAGCCAGACTATGGCTGATTGGTTCAACTCCAATCTGAAAACAGATTTCAAGAAACATTCTGAAATAAGACACTAACAAATCAAGGTGAAGATGGGAATTTTAAATTTCTGATGATCACAATAATATCTAAGTTTCAAAAAAATACCTCCCAACTCCTTCAGGTGCTGTTGAATTTGGGAAGAATGTTCCCACACGGTAGGTTTTGCCGTTTAGCCATTGATTTACTTGTATCACTGAAGATCTTGATGGTCCACTCTTGAAATTAATGCGACCAGACACACCATTAAAGTCTGTCGCACTGATGAGTTCTACATATCGTCTGAGGGTTTTCAGAAAGAAAAAGAAACTGTCATAGTATATTTGAAACCCAAGTAACTACACCCTGAGAAATTCTTCAGGACTTACTTTGTGGTGGTTTCATTGTGCAAAGTTACTAGATGAGATTGATTTTCCCTCATGAGACTGTCAAGAGCGAGTGCGTAGGTCCAAACTGCATCATATGCAAAGCCTCCATAATTGTGTGTTTCAACTTTGTTCTTAACACATTCCTCTTTGTACTTCTCTTTCCACTTTCCTACTGACATATTTTCTTGCATAGTTTCATTGTCACCAGCATAGTAGGTGTGGGTTAGGGCCAGATGCCCATTGATGGCCTTCAGGGATAGAAAAATGAAGGAACACGTTAGAGCCAAATGGAGTGACATAAATTGTTGTTTTGAAGAACTTGAGTGTAAAAGTCACCTCAATCATTTGTGATGTGCTGCAATTGACTGGTTCACTGCTGTTAGTAAAAGAGCTAATGTCGTACCAGCGAGGGGAAAGCCACAACGGTAAAAACCATACATATCCTTGCTTGGATGTCATTTCCAGGTGATAAGCAGCACACATAAGCGATCGAGCAGCATCATCATTGACATCACCTATCAGGATTCGGGCATTTTTACTCTTCAGCTCCTTCAGGTACTGTATGTAAAGAAAGAGAAGTCCTTAATTAAACTAATACACATAAAAGGCACTCAAAGCTACAAGCCATTTTTTTGACCATTTGTAAAAATTTGGAAAGTCCACATAAAATCAATTAAAAATAAAAACCTTTGGCATGGCTGTGCTGTCACGATTCCGTGGGAATTTTCGATTGGCAATGTATTGGATTCCATGAGTTTGCATCAAATCTTGCAAATGTGACAAGTACTCTGTGTATCTTTGTCCATCTTCAGTCAATGATGCAACTTGTGACCAACCGATTTGTTTAAAAAGTTGAAGATAGACATGTCTGTAAAACATCAATTTATAAATTGAAATTTAAAAAATTCCTCTATCTTTTTTGAGTAATTATGGAATCTGAACTTACTTGTATTGGTTGTTCTCCCCAATAGTACGATAAAAGTATGGATATTTACTTCGGTCAGAAAAACTTGATCCTTCAGCACTGTAGCTTATTACAACAGTACGGTATAACTTGGACACTCCAGCTAAAGGTTCAACTGAATCCGAACAGGCTGGGCCTACAGAAAGTAAAAGAGAGCACAGCTTAATAATAACAAATTACAGGATTAAATCAATCGTATCACATATTTAACATGATTGTGTGTACTTGCCTAAAACTCCAACAAGTTTAGGATACATGTCGAGGTAAATATAGTCAATGAATGTTTTCATAACAACATCAGCACGGCACTGCCCATCAGCTACCAGCAGTTTCAGTTTGTAATCTCTGAGGATATTATTGTTCTTGTTGATTGCCTCCCTTGCCATTCGAGCAGCTGGAAATGAAGGGATTATTAGCAAAATTTGTTTTCAACAAAAATTCCGAATACCATAGGGTTTATAAAAGAGAAGAGTATTTCTCACCTATTACAATTGCTTTAGCTGAGTATGATGTTCCGCTCAAGGGAAATATGCCGCCAATATAAAGGATTCCCTTGTCGTCATCACGCCAAACCCAGTCCTGCCATTTATGTTCATTGTCTTTAAGCCACCCACAAGCTACCTCAGCATCACTGTCTGGTCCTGCTAGCCTGCTCCGTTCCATTAGATCCTGGTAGTCTGAATGGTCAAACTGCACCTTTCGAATAGACTGAATGGGAGAGAACAGATTAGGTGTGAAAATTCAGATTGTAGTAGATAAACCAATACACTACTGATCAAATTTAATAAATCAGTAAAAGAACCTCATATGCAGGAAGCGCAGATTCTTTCAACTTGTTCCACGCTAATTTTAGAAGACGTTGCAAATCATATTTGCACCCGACAGCTTTAGAAGACTGCATATCTTCACAAGGTGGAAATGTAACGACAGAATACTGCCTGTCTCCGGGAATGGCCAGCTCTGATGGTGCCCAGCTTATGAGCACAACTTTTTTGTTGGCCCTATAAGATCTGTATTTTCTTGTCAACTCATTTGTAATGTTTGCCAGGTTTGGGCCCACCCAAATCACTTCCACATACAATTGCAACTCTTCAATGTGCTGTACCACAAAATCTGTCATATCTTCTCAAAAACAACATGAAACAACCAATGTCATTTTAAAGAAGTAGTAAAAATTTTACTAGAGAGTTTGGGCATTCTGTATACATACCAGCATAGCTTGCAAAAAGAGTGGCACAACTTGTTCCCTGGCAGCGGTTTGGAACATAGCGCCCATTTTTGCAAAAAGTTTCACTGCAGTAGAATCCCGCATCGCCTCTCGTCAGCCTGTCAATCTTAAAGTGCTCGTAGTCGTCTCTGCTGACAGAGTAGGTCTCAGCGTCTCCAGGCACAGTGAACAGTCTCCAGCTGGCGTCGCTGGGTTCGTTGCCGGTGCGGGGAATGAACCAAGCGAATCTGCAACATTTGAAATTCGGAAACCCGTCAGGACTCTGGTTTCGCCCAGGCACTGGGGTTTTGCATTTGAAATGCTAGTGTTGCACAAACCACTCACCGGCCGGGCGAGGTCACGGGACCGGCCTCCAGGACATTCATCGAGTGCTCGGACCACCACTGGGCCAGGTTGTCATCCGGGCCCGTCCACACCTCCAGGTTCACCATGCTGCGGGGCGACCTAGGAGCGCCGACAGGCAGACAGGTACACATTAGACACTTTCATACACGGCGCTGGGTCACCTGCCGTGAGGGCTGGTGCGGGACGTTTCTTACAGTGTGGCCGCGACTAGGCCTACCGCACGTAGACGGACGGGGTGAAAGACTGACGCACCGCCGCCGAGCGCGTTGGGCGTGTTGCCTATGCTCGACTCGGTGGGCGCTCAGGCCGATTCCGAGCAGCCATCCGCGTCGCTCTGTCCCTCTCGCACCGCGGCGGCGCGGCGGCGCGGCGGACCGACCCTTCGGTGCGAGAGAGACAGAGCGACGAAGGCACCGTGAAGCAGTGTCGCTCAAGGCCCCTTGACCCACCTCGAGTCGGCGCCGTCGCTGCCGCCGATGCGGCTCACGACGCGCGACGTGTTGAAGCTGCTGTCCGCCAAGTGCACGATGTTGACGGCGTCGTAGCCCAGCACCTCGACCAGGAAGGTGCGGAACACGTGCGTGATGAGGCGGTGCGTGAGGCGGCGCCGCGACGTCTCCAGGCGGATGTCCGTCGGCTCGCCGCCCACCAGCAGGAACCGCGGCGGGCTCACCTCTGCGCAACAACCGTCCCGCTTCAGCACACTCGCAGACATTTAAAAATGAACATTCGATATGAAAAGAAGCAATGCCATACCGCTGATGTGCTTGAGACATCGCTCCGGCTTGGCCGGCTCGCAGGGCTGCAGGGCGAGCAGGCACACGGCCAGCACGGCCACCGCGCCTCGCAGTGCAGGCGGCATGGAGGCGCCCCTGCAACACAGGTGCAACATTTCATCAAATCGAAACAAAATAAAATTCCAACAGAAGTGACGGTTATTTGTACCGATAAAATCACACAAAGCTAAGAGAAATCGACTGCGTTGATTCGACTTTCTTAAAGTAGTACAAGGCGGTACACTGGTACTCACCGGTCGCGATCTATCGCACCATCTTGCTGGGAACTGGACGGCGGCGATCCTTGTGCCGCTGGTACCGCTCTCCGACAACCTGCCGACAAGGAGATGGCGCGTTAAACACCGGCCAGAAACAAACACCCCATCGGGCGATCCAGCCAGGGCAAGGCCCCGCCCAAAAAGGAACCTTGCGTTCAAGAAAAATAAATAAAACATGAAATTGCAGCTTGCAGGCACAGACGCCGGGCGGCCACAGTTGCCGCAGCAGCCCTTCAGGAAGGCGCCCGGCAAGAGGGGAGAGGGGAGGGGGGAGGGGCACTCGGCCGGTGGCGCGACACGGTGGCGCCCCAAGTCGCCCTTGCAGTGGCGCGGCGAGCGGCGACGGCGTCGTCCGCCAGAGGCAATCTAAAACTCGGTTCCGCTCGGCCGTGGCGTGGCGTGGCGTGCAGTGCCGTGCCATGGCGTGCCGCGCCTTGCCGTGCCGCGGCGTGGCTCCACCCGGCCGCCAGCGTCGCAAGGTGCAGTGACCGGCGCCGTGCACCCACCCCGTGCATAGGGGGCGTGGCGGAGTCCCCGGTGGGGGGGGGGGGGGTACCCGCCCCCTCTACCCGCCGCCAGACAGGGGGGCGAAGGGGCGGGCGAGGCCCCTGGCTCGCCCTTCGATTCGATCCATCGGCTTGCTTTACGGTTTTGGGTTGTTCTTTCGCCAGAGCCACCGCGGCACGCCTTCTTTACGACATGTTGGCACACAACCGATACACCAGCTACACCCGCTCCGGGGCTCTGGGCTGGCAGACGGGGGCGGTGGTGGCCTGGAGTGGAGAGTTCTGGTGGAGAGCGCGGCCGGCCGAAGCTCTGGCCAAGCGCCTGCGAGGTTCGGGCTGCCGGCCCGCCGGACACGGCCGCGCGGCGCGTTGCCTGCCCGCAAGGCGTTCCGCCTTGGCCGCCAGGCCGCCGCCGGCCGCCGCTCCCACGCACAGACGGACCGACGCACAGTGGGCCAGAAGACCGGTGCAGGCGGCCAAAACTCTAGACGCGTTTGGAGCTCCAGAGTCGCTAAACAGGACCCGAACCGAACGTGTGACCCCACCAATGGATTGCTTTCCGAACGAGCAATCCATTGGTGGGGTCACACGTTCCGTTCGAGTCCTGTTTAGCGACTCTGGAGCTCAAAACGCGTCTAGAGTTTTAGCCGCCTGCACCGGTCTTCTGGCCCACTGTGCGCGCGCGTGAGCAGTGAGCGGGGCGGGCGGCCAGGGGCGGCGCGCGTTGCCCCGGGCAACGACTAATAATTGCGGCAGGCAGCGCCGCGATGCCAGAGTGTCATGCTCGGTACCGCGAGCGAGAGAGACGGAGCGCGGCCCACTAAACAACAGACTAGACAAAGGCAGTCGCTGGCAATCTCAGCGGCGTGACGGCGCCAGCACAGCCAGCACAGCCAGCACAGCCCCGAGGCCGCGGGATGATCCCCAGCGGCGCCGTCGTCGCTCCGTCTCTCTCGCACTCACGGTGCGTCCCGGCGCGGTGCGAGAGAGACGCTCGGAGAGACGCCACCGGGGACGGCTCGGCCCACCGGGACCCCGATCCGAGTCGGATCAACCCGCTTTCATAGCGGCCAGGGTCTTGTTTACGTTCGCGAGCCAGGACCGTCCCCACCGCCGCGCCGACCCCCGCCCCCCGCGCGTATAATTAGCTTCAGGTGACTCAAGCGGGGCGGGGCGGGGCGGGGCGGGGCACCTGTTTGGGAGTCGCACGCACACGCCGCGCGGCTAAGGCACGCCCCCGCCTCCCCCTTCGCCTACCCCCTCCTCGACCACAAGGCTCTTCCGGCAGGCACCCCTCGCAGTGGAGTGGCTCGCAGTGCAGTGCCTTGCAGTGCAGGCCGCGCGGAAAGGCGACTAGCAGTGCAGTGGTGGGCAGGACACGCGAACGCCGAGTCGCGACGACAGGACCGGCGAAGTGAGAGACAAGACGGCGAGACGCGGCGAAGAAGAAGGAACGGCAGCTCCATCTTTTCTCTCTCTCTCACACACTCACCACACACACACACAGAGTCTCACTCACACACTCACACACACACGTGCAGGCCAATAATACGCCCGCATCACGCACGCGACCAGCGCAAAATACCTGCAAAAATACAAAATTAAAAAGAAAGCCGAAACTACCGCGCGCGCGTGTCATACGGCACGGCCGACAGGTCTTTTCCCACCGGACGACCAAACGACGCGCATGAATACATAAACGCAGAGTGTTTGAAACAAATTTGATGGGAATTAAAGGTTGGACACGACACGGGCATGGAAAGTGGAGCCCCCCCCCCCCCCCCGGCTCATTTGCAAGCAAACGGCCGGACGGCCGCCACACTGCGGACTCATTCCGCGAGTCGCCGCTCCGTCCCTCTCGCGCCTGTCAGGGACGGCCCACGAGTGCGAGAGAGACAGAGCGACGAAAACAGTGTGCCTCCACATTGCCTCAGCGCGCGGCCACGTGGCCTCGTCACGTGGGACCAAGGCGGCGGGGCAGGCGAGTCGGGCAGAAGAGTGTTTACATTCGGATGCAAATAAGGAGAGCAAGGCGGGCAAAGGGGTGCCCCGCTGGGCAGCGCCTCACAGTGTAGCGTCCCGCTCGGCTAAAATGAAATTCAAACAAGACGCCCTGCCCTCGCCTCGCCCACGTGCAGGGTGCACCGCGCGCCTAGAGTCCCACACCTGCAGACCGACTCCGAGAGTCCTTTTCGTCGCTCTGTCTCTCTCGCACTCACGGGGCGTCCCGCACAGGTGCGAGAGAGACAGGGTGATGAAAACGACGCTCGGGATCGGTCTGGCGCCCACTATTTGCCCTCCGATTGATCCCAGGTGATAACGACACGACGGCCCAGCAGTGTGGGGCCCGGCAGGCCCGTCGCTCCGTGTGTATGTCGGCGTGTCGCGGCGTCGCAGCGCGCCGGCTCTGGCCTCTGGCTCCGCCCAGGCGCCGCCCTTGCAGTGGCGTGGCAGGGCTAGGGGCGGACGACGCCTCGCCCACCGCAGACTGACGAGCTGCCAGTGGAGTGGCGGCGGCGCGTTCGCAGCGACAACGCAAGCCGCGGTCGACCAGTAATGGCAATGGTAAACATGTGGCCGGGGGTGACTTTCACCGCGACGGCCAGCCAGGCCGAGCTGGCAGCCATCGCGCCGCAGTCGGATTAATTCCCCAGCCGTTTTGCTTCACACGCTGACAGGCAGGCAGGCAGGCAGCCTCAAGACCCACCAGCACGCCCAAAACATAAAAGACGGTAGGAACGAACGAACGGACGTCGTAAAGACCCATCGACAATGACGCGCGCGGGGCGGCGCGGGGAGCGTCCGTAAAATATGTAAATGATTGAGCAAAGCGTTTTTTTTTCGATTTACGATTACGACTCTATCCGCTTTCCCCCCTTCCCCACTGAGCAGTTTCCCTCGGCGTCGGCGGGAAGCCTCGTGATTTATGGAAGGATGGACGAGGAGAGCTGCAGAAAGGTGTGTTGCCGGCAAGCCAGCGCCTAGAGCGGCCATCGCACAGGCGCACGCGCGCGCACACACACATACACACACACACACACACACACACACACACACACACACACACACACGCGTGGCCTTTCGAGTGGAGAGTTTGTGTCTTTACGACGCGCGGGCCAATGGGAGAACGCCGCCGCCACCAAGCCGCGCGAAGCGGGCGAAGCCACCAGGCCGACAGGCCGATGCTAGAAGGCTACACGGAGCGGCGGCAAGGCCGTCGAATCGAATATACAACGAATATAAAACGCGACCGGGTCGTCGTCGGCGTGCCGTGGTGGACGGCGTGGACGGCGCGACGCTCGTGCGCGGCGTGACGTGACGTGACGAGGCCGCCGCCGTCGCGTCGTGACGCGAGGCGTGGCGCGTGGCGCTGCGGCGTCACTCCAAGTCGTCGCCGTGACGAGGGGGTCGTGAGCACATGCACAGTGCACCGAGAGCCACGCGCGTGGCTGCGGCTGCCTCTGTGCGGCGCGTGGCGGGGCGTGGCACAGTGGGCCAGAAGACCGGCGGAGGCGGCCAAAACTCTAGACGCGTTTGGAGCTCCAGAGTCGCTAAATGGGACTCGAACCGAACGTGTGACCCCACCAATGGATTCCTCGTTCGGAGAGCAATCCATTGGTGGGGTCACACGTTCGGTTCGGGTCCTGTTTAGCGACTCTGGAGCTCCAAACGCGTCTAGAGTTTTGGCCGCCTCCACCGGTCTTCTGGCCCACTGTGCGTGGCGGGGCGTGGCCGGGCGTGGCGAGCACACTGGAGGCCGTGACCTGGGAGGCTGACCTGGCGGACCCGGCCATTGGCAGACAATTGGAGCTCATCACTGAGCCCCCCCCCCCATCCCCTTTCCTCCGGACGCCCACGGCCCGTGCCGCAAAAGTTCCACACCGCGGCGCGCGGCGCGCACGTGTGCTCGATAGGGCACGGCGAAAAAAACGGGGGCACGTGCCGCCGCCGCCGGTATTTGAACCCGCGCCGCCCCGAAAGCGACAAAACACGGCCGGGCGGCTCGGAGTTTCGCGCATGGCTTCAATTATAACTTTCCGGCGGCGAGGCGGGCGAGGCGGGCGAGGGGCCTTGTTTGTCGCGCCGGCTCCGCGGCCCCGCCTTCTCCTCCTCCTTCTCGTCCTGCGGGAGCCGTGAGGGTCCCTAACAAGCTGGCAGAGGCCTGGACAGGCCTGGAAGGGCGGCACCGCCAGCGCCAATCGCGAAAACGGCAAAACGGCCAAAGAGAAGACGGAGAGCGGAGACGGGAACCACCGTGCAGTCTCTCGTTTCTCTTCGTGTTGTTCGCATTTCGCAAACGGCGAGCTGCACTAGATCAGACTCCAATCACAACGTTATGACCCGCGAGCGGTGGGTGCCACGCGCAGCGCTGTGTGATTATCGGTCCGGACGGCCTCCGGCAAGGCCTCCGGGCGCAGACGGCTGTTGTGGACACAGACAGGTCGCAAGCAACACACACACACACACACAGAGCCTCGATCACGGCGGCCGCCACGGCCCGCTCGTCTTTGATCGAAAATGAAACTGGCGTCAGCACTGCGGCCTTTTC